ACACAGAATTGAACACAAGTGTAAAGTGTGTGAATTTGTGGCACTGGGTACCGTACCCCTAAACTGCTTGTGCTTTAACATAGGTTCAGGCATGCCCACAATAAACAGAGTCCAACAGTTTACCTTATGGTGTTGGAATTTGTGTGAATGGGTATGGTTCCTAGTAAATCACTCTGGGGAGTTAGGGTTAATCAAAACAGTTAACCTTTCTTAAGGGCACGTGAACAGTTTGTCATTCGTGCCCCAAATTTCTGATCATTACCTTCTGTACTTTATCTTTGATATCTGACACCGTTCTCTTCAGAGCATCAGTTCCCCGGGATGTTTCCATTTCAATAGTTTCCTGTGGAAGGATAGAGAAATTGAAAACAATTATGCACTTTCGTTCTCAATATATCAATGGCAACCAACATGACCAACAGCAATCATGCCAATGATCTTTCTGACATGCTGGAAGAATTCTGGTGACATACGGCATACCTAGCTATGGGAAAGTATCATGTGGATGAACAATGTTCAACTTACATATTTCTTCCTTGCTTGCTGAAGAGCGTCAGACTTTTCCAGTTTTTCAGCTTCCTCTCGAAATTTCTTGATGTTTTCCTGCAAAACGAAAACAGAGAGTTTCCCCTTTCCAACTTGATAAAGATATTTTCGAAGTACTAATCATCCCCTTTGTCAATATGTTTTGGTAGTAACTCATCAATTCAAGTGGTTGTACTTGATAATTTTCTATCCCACAAACATCTTAAGATTGGTTGACCAAAAAAATTCAGACTTCCAATAATTATTTCATGTCTGTGTGCGGATTTGAAAGACAAAGTCAGAACAAATTCCCCAACCTTCATCTCTTTATTCTTGGCCATGTCCAGTTTGATGTTTTCAATGAACTGTCCTATGAAGCCTTTCCTCTGTGGTTGTTGGGAGTAACTCCTAGCCTGAGAGTCAATAAATAAAGACAACATAAATACGATTTTCATAGAAGTTTACAATCATGAGATATCAGTACTTTGGTCCAATGTAGTGAACTTCATTTTAGATTAGTAGCCACTGGATGATAAACAAATCTAGCCACACAGAAAAGTGCAGTCAACCAATTGGAATAGTTTGTCAATGTGATACACAAGTAGTTTCAAAATACATGCAGAATTAGGAGGAAATTGAAATATCCTTGTGTTTGTCATAATCAAAAATTGAAACAACAAATGTTTTTGTGAACTCAATTAAACTACAAGCAGTAAATCCATTCTTATGTAATGCTCGTCTCAGCATATGTGATTCAAGACCTATTCTTTTTAGATGTTAAATCTTCAATGTACTTGACTGATAACACCTTCAATCTCTGAGACAGATGATAATAGCTGATTGTTTACCACAAATGCAGATGAATCACTGCCCATTGGCAAATTATGTATTTTACCTGTACTAGTCTGACATCCAGTTGATTCTGTGCCAAGTGTGTGACATTTCCATTTGTCACTTGGCCTAATCTTACTGCGTGCTGTGGCACTCTCCACAATAACTTTGCACTGGCACACTGTAATAATATGAAATATCAATAAGTTTTGTCAAATGACTGTTCCAACTCAATAGGGAAGTGTCGAATATCTGAATAACCAAATATTTTATGATCGCATATATGAATATCATTTCCTAATTTTAATATTTGAATGCAAATTCATGAAAAGAAAGGGATAGCTTTCTTGTGTTTTAATAATGTGTGCATGAATGTATTTGATCAATAAAACACCAGATTATTAAACTCTACATTGTTCATACTTAGAGCAAGTTTCAGTAAATGATAGATAATAATAGAAGCACTTCCAGTTCTAAACTGATGTCTAATTGTAATGCAGTAAGTATCTGCCAGGAAAACTGGCACTCACAAGATCTTTGTTTTAATTTACACAGCCGGGGAGTGCTATGATTTATTATTTCATCGGAAATTGTAAATGTGGGGACCTTGTTCCTATAACAGAAAGGAGAGCTACATTTTCACTTTTGAATTCACCTTGGTAGGCCCTAGATGACTGTGATATCATGCTCAATAACTGTATGGTTGATGTTGTCAAAAAAGGGCAGGGTTTTGAGTTTTGAGGCAAATTATGAGGAGAAAAACACATGACACACTGTGGATTCAAATTTGAATGGCTAGTTTATCAGTAAGAAAGTCACATTTTCTCACAACATAATTTACAATTTAAAATTTCCAAATAAAATAGGGTCAGTGAAACAATGAGAGTGTTGCCGTTGTTTTTTGGGGGGACTTAGCAGTTTGGAAAGATTAAAATGATAAAAAAAATGGGGGTTCCCTGCCTGCCATTGACAATATCAAATTGTCATTATGAATGTCTCACATGTCAGACATGTGTCAGAGAAAAGAGAGATAGAATTAGAAGGTGAGACATTTTTTATCCAACACTAACAGTGATTATTTTGATTGAGGCGGCATGATACCCCCAAATACAACTCTGACGATAGCAAGATTACATCATGCACAATTTGATTTCAATGAAAATCAATGCAGCGTTGCAGTCCATGCAAAATAGCGGCGAGAGCCGGCTAAGGCATGTCGCACGCACGTGATTTAATTCCATCCCCAACACGTTTGAAATTCAACTTCATTCTGTTCCTAAAATGGTGAAATGAATCTCTTAGTAGTATTTTTTCAATACTACCTTACATCATTGAAAAAATTACTGAATCAGTTCAATAAACGGATAAACTTACGTGACTCGCAAGTTTCACAACGGGGGCAGCCATTTTCTTAACTTCGATTGCGATGCGGTTTTTATTCTCTATAATCCATGGCTCTAAAGAAGAAAATGTACGTATTGCGAATAATTTTCACATTCTCTCCACCCGCTATCTCTTGTAGTCTATCTTTTATTTTAGGTCTTTTTTAGCTGGTAAATTTTCGTTTGTAATTGTATGCATTGACGAAGAGTACCAGCCACTGGCCTCTTCTTGTGACTCAGCTGGGCCGCGCTTGGAGGTGGACATGTGCTGCTGTAGGTTAATGTGCTCTCTTGACATTTTTGCCGGGAAATCTAGAAAAATTCGGGGGGAGAGTTCCATACTACAACATTCAAACGTAAATATAAAGTTAAACTACTAAGTGGGTATTCAAATTTTAATTAACATCATTTAGTTTTTGTGTCTTACAGGGCTTGGTCAGTTGTTTACGTGTCTTACCATGCTTACTGTCTTCTAAGTTCTTGTCTAATCCTAATTTGTCATAATTATTGTATTGTTCGTAATAATGCTTATTGTTCCTAATGGGATCCCTATTCGACAAGCACTGCTTTTATGGGACCCTGTCCACAACCATTTTCCTTCCTGGTATAACTTTACTGTATGTATACATGTATACGGACGCCGCTTGACACCCTGTGCACAAGTCTATGGGACTGGACTGAAAGATTTTAAGTGTTTTCTTAAGAAACGACTTTGTATTTTCCCTCCTAAATTGAACCTTGGGACATGTTTGTACTTTCTGATAGCTAGTCACTGTAGGAAAGAATTACTGGCGTCCATATGACTGATGGAACTCTTCCCAAATTCTGCTGTTTTAAACTGGTACTTCAGTCTCAGAGAAAATTCTGATCAAACTGACTACTGTGTGTGGTCTAACCGTAGGCCTACAACCCAAGTTCCTAGACATGTAAATCTTTCAAATTGGTTCGACTGGCTTCCAGGCATCATGTCCGTCCATCAACATTGTTTCCTCCAACCCTTTCCAGGGACTGGCCCACCCACAACATGGGAATTGTCACTTAATGGACTTGCATGTTTCATGCGAATCCCGTTTGCGATCAGGGATCTAAAGTTGGTTCACTGACACCAGAATTCCCTATAATGGATAGTGTGAACCAGCTTTGCATGCTTTGGGATCACTGATCAAGATGCAGATCCAAACAAACAAGCCCTGTGCAGCGATGTATCTTGATCTGTGGGACAGCCCTTCCATGTGTTGTACCAGTGTTGAAAATGTTATTAATGTTATGTTATTAACATCCCAAACATGATCAAAATCACATCTTTGGTGCTAACGTTTGGGCTCGAAAAATGTAACCAAAACCTGACTTAAGACCTTGGGCAGCTCTAGATCCCCAAACTTGACAGTGTGTTTTCAACTATCAGACTAATACAACTGGGGAAGCCCTGGACAGGAGGGGAGGGGTGTGAAACGATTGAAGTAAGGACTCTCCAAATTCTCTGTTTTGATATTTGGTCATCATACCATGGAATAGGACCCTATGAATCTTGATGCTTGGTCATGATCTTATGATTACCCAGTGGTAAAAGAGGCCATATGCAAAGCTGTAGTTAGTATTCCGCTGGACTACAATATAGACAAGTTAGCTAGCTTAGAGAATCCAGCTCTCTGGTTTGTAGAGAAATTTGCAAATCCTCCCACACCATAGGCTGTAGAGCTGAGTTTTCAGTCAGGCATGAAAAATTGAATGCTGAAAAAAAAATCACCTGTAAAGAAGTTACGGGGAGAGAGGTCCACTTGAGTCTGGTTTGTAGGCTCACATACATGTATTTCCATATAAAACGTTGTTTCATTTTTCATTTCAGATACAGACCAACAAAATGTTTGTGCCGAGGGCAGTGAAGCATAAACCAGCGACAAAGCCAGTGAAATCAAGACCACAAGCTAAAGCTGAATATCCAGCTAACACTGCTGGGCAAACTCAACGTGACCAGGAGAGTGACTCTGTCCCAACAGATAGCCAAGGCGGTGCTGGTCAGGAAAGTGCTGGGTCACACGTACTGAGACGTGATGCACCAGAAACAACTGCACCTTTTATTTCTGAAAAGGGAGCTCAAAAACTCACTGAAGATAACACCAAGAATGAAATAGTACTGTTTTGCCAAAATACTGGAAATGGTTCAGAATCCCCACTTTTGGTGTTGGAAGGCACATCAAAGGAACCGGAGAATAGAACATCTTCAACAAGTAGTGGGGCTACTTCTCTGGAAACAGACACTGCATGCCTTCAGCAAGCAGATGAAACATGTACAACAGATTCAGTGACAGAGGCAGAGAAGGTTAAGCTAAAAGAAGACCGTAAGGGAGAAACAGATATTGGTGTCAGAAGTGGGATCAGTTCACATCTCCTACTTGACATTGCTGAGATTAGACGGTCTGTTGACAGGATCAAAAGAGGTGGGGGGCTAAAGGCAGTTTGCAAAGACACCGGGGATGATGTCACAGAAGATGCAACTGACACAGAGGATGAGAAGGACGAGACAGAAGATTCAGACTGTGAAGATCACAATCAGGAGGTCACTGAGGAGGGACAGGAGGAGGTCGTCTCATACAGCAAGAACCAGAGGTGGCCAGTCAGTGATGAGGAGCCAGTCTGTGTGATGTGCGGGAGGTATGGAGCCTACATCTGCGACCAGACAGAAGCTGACGTGTGTAGCCGCGAGTGCAAGGCCAGGAACTTGGCAAGGCTTGGCCTGACAGCAGGATTGGTATACCTTCCAAGTGGTTCAGATTGTTATTTGACAGGGAGTTTTTAACTTAAATAAAAATTGCGAATCATTGGGCTAGCTTAAATTAAAGTGAAATAAAGTGGCTGTGCTTAAAGTTATTGAAGGCCATACATATTTTTGGGCCCATTATATGGTATTTTTAACTTTTCACAGTGAGCCAGTTGGTTTTTTCGAAATGCAAGGCCATTCAAGAACAAAGCATATGTACTAGCCAAGATATGGCTGTCCTGATAGGGCAGACCTTGCATATGTGTGCTGCAGTTTGCAAATGACCTTAGTCATGTTTCCTATTTTGGGGTCATATGCTGGTGGACAGCAAACTGGCTCGTTCAGGCTTACCTCACCAGTGGCATTTTGTATTTCAGAATCAGCTAGCTGCTCCAGGAGAAGATAGCCAACCAGAAATGAGCCCTGCTGACACACCCATGGAGGAAGAGCCAATCGGCTACATCTACAAGGAGCATGATGAGGTGTCGGACCTCACCAAGGAGCAGGTCCAAGAAATCAGGGCTCAGGTATTAAAAGAATTATGAATGCCCTAGGCTCAATCCTGAACGGCTCTTAAACTAAAAGAGGTAGAAATCCTTCTTTCCCCAATTATAAAAACAATTGGAGACAAGACTATCTTTCAAAATTAACATGAAAAATGGAACACTTTTCCCATTTATGGCAGAAAAAATGTCCAAAAAATGGGCTTCTGTGAGCCCCCTTTTTTGCCGATTTCAGAAACACTCATTATGTATTAATGCCAGTGACTCCAAAACGTCGTATGGGAGATATAGTTGTAAACAGTGTGTATCTTACTCATGAGTCTCGTAGTAGAGGCATGCTCAAATGCAGTGTTCTTGCGCGGTTCCTGTCCACTATGTTGATTGTTCCATCCATCAAGTATAAGTGCATGATTCGTTGTGTTTTTGTTATAAAATAAAACATACCCCGGTCTTGTGCAGTTTGTAGCTTTGGACAGGAATCTCGTACACTGAGACTTGGTCTCGACGTTTTCGTGCAATACCGCATTGAATTGATTATTCCCAGACAGCACATTAAGGGCAGATTTTAAACCGACCCAGTCGTCGCAGATAAAAGTAATATGCCAAGGATTTGAGGACTGCTTTGACAAATATCCAGCGTCTGCAAAGCACTCTGAACTGAGAAAAGTGACGCATAAGCCTCGCTGACTGCTTGTGTTGTGTTGCATCTGCTGGTGATGGCAGTACTGTGCTGCTGGACCATGGCCAGGTTTGGGACCGCACAGCAGCCCTGCAACATTGCAAGGTTGCCTGCCATCACCCTCATTCATCGATGAGTAAATGGTTAATTTCATAGGAATCAAATCCACTCACTTTCATGAGAAGAATCCTTTATGTGTTTATCTCTTTTTCTTTGACACATTGAAAATTGTAGACACGGCAATAAACAAGCCTGCACCTGGGTTGCTGTCTTTTCTAAAAACTTAAGCTTCACATGTGTGCACACATTACAAGGTAGCCTGCAATTCAACCCAAGATTCTGGTCTGGGTACTGACTCCTATGCTGACCGTGTTATTCTATGAATAGTCTGTTGCCACACTGTTAACACGAGTGCACTCTCACATGTATGCCACGAAAAATATGTTCCTCTCCACCTTCAACATCTCGTACCCCTTCATTTTCGGAAAAAATATCACAATTATTTTGACCAGCTAAGAGGAAGACTTTAGGGTTATGCATCATAGAGTTTAATGTATAATACTTTGCATCTTCTACACGTCATTAAAACTCTTTTTAATGCATTTAGGCCACAAGATACCAGTTTGCTTGTATCTTCATGCATGCTTTATGCATGCCTGTTGTGCCTTTCTCCCAAATGACAAAATCAACCCAACATAAACACAAAATTTCACCTCGCGTGTTTCCGAAATCGGCCCAGTTGGTCTTTGAAAGAAATCGCCTCTTATTTCTCTTCTGTTGATTTCCAAGAGATAAATCTATTGTATACTGAGTTTTGAGTACCCAATCTACCTCCAAAACCCTAGATGTCAATATATTAGACGCCTTTTCCTCAGCACTTTAAGACAATGGATTGTTGGGATGGACTGCAGTATGGTTACAAGAGACTCAGGATGCAAGAATGCACGTGATCCAGATTATTTAACCAGCACTTCAAAACATCTGGATTTTAAAAATGGGTGTCAGAGTTCTTGAAGTTCTCCATGCAGTTGCCAAAAAAGTTTGGAGAAATGGCCCACCGGGTGTCTGGGAGATATCTGGACACTGGGTCATATTAAACTTTGAATTTATTACCATTTGAATGAGTACCTGAGATTAAATACAATTTTTTAAATATCTTTTTTCCCGTCAACTTACTTTGCAGGTCGAACTCTTTGTTGAAGGCGTAGATGTACCGAGACCAATTATTGAATTCTCTCACCTTGGTGCTCCAAAGAAAAGTACTGAACCAGTTTTCTTTCCCCCAACATTTTGAAATTTTGATACTTGATATAAGAAACAAGAAAGTTTGATCTCCCAAAGTAGTTGAGGTTACTTACTGGTGATTTTAGATGAATTATGTGCATCATTAATATGCAGAGCTTGGTGGTGCAAAATACCACAGGAAGTTAAAAATTCAACTGAATGGACGAACTGCAGTAGTGTTGAGTGTAGGACCAGAGGTGCCCCTTGCCCTTCTGTTAAAGTTGAGGGAATGAGATCTTTATACAACAGCCTTATGACTGCGTACCTCTATGAGAATGGTACAGGCCTAAAGACTGAAGCTCCAACTTTACCCTGTGTAAAGGATTCACCCAAGCTGCATTTCATTTCATTTGTTTTTTAGAAAAGAATTATTTGGATCAAGATGATCAAAAAGTTTGCCACGTTTCGCTGTCAACAGTTTGACACCCATGGTACAATTTCCCGGAATCTTGTTTTGTTTTTGTTCCAGTGGGGTCCAATCTGGCCAGTGTGGGATACAACACGCCCACGCCAGTCCAGATGCAAGTCATACCGGCAGCGCTCAGGTGGCGTGACATGATGGTGTGCGCACAGACCAGCTCTGGCAAAAGTACGGCACGGTGCTTAAACTACACACATAACCTTATTGCTCTGATATGTGCTCTGTGAGTTGTGGTTTAATTTGATGAAGCACACTGCTGTAGAGTAGTTTGGAAATGTTGACAGCTTTGAGTGATGTAGTGAACCTATGGCTTCCTGGGGTGAGCATTCGCTTTCTCATGGCTTCACCTTGGGACAATAGAACACTCCATAGATCACTGAAGGAGGCTAGTATAAGCACTACAAGCTAAAGCAGTCAACAGAGTTTCATAGTACCTCTCCCATATATTCTGCTTGATTTGGTGATGACTGATTCATTTGATCTGAAAATACAAAAAGTACCTGTCTTTGAAATAGAAATTTATTCAAAATGTACCAGCATTTTTCTCGGACTACTTCTTTGTAAAATGTCTGAACCCAGCTCTCTAGTGCTTGTACTTTGGAAAGTGCACAACTTGTACACCGGGTGCATTTGTACACAGTGCTGGTATTCATGCATAAAATTCTTCTGATGTTACGGATACAGTACTTTGGTTGCTATGGGTACAGTACTTTTGGTTGTGTAAAGCAAGATTGAGGTCTGCAGCAGCCGATTTCAAACGTGGCGTAACTTTGAACCATGCGTAAGCCTCGTGGCACAACTTTATGCCGCAGCTGCAAATGTTTGATTTCACGAAAAGATGTGTAGCTGCACCATGTTTTGATGATAATAAATTTCTTGGTCAAGGACCAAAAAGGCTTTTACAACAGCTGTACCTTTCGAGTATAACAGCAGTCATCAAACAGTTGTTGAATCACCTCCGCCCGCCATTTTGAAAAAGTTTCCCTCTTGTCTTCGTCGGAACCGCACAGAAAATCTTGCAGTTTTCTCATGACCTTCCACAACAAAGCTGTACGTTTCTTGTATAAGCCTTGTTAAGTTCAGCAATGATGAGGCTTAACCGGACAGGATAAGCTAGTCAAATAGTTCATTTTTGCTTCATTTCGTGCAACTTACACCCCTTAAAAGGACTTTGTGAATTACGCAATAATTTGTTTCATAAGTCGCGGACTTAAGCAGTGCATAAGTTTCATGAAATTGCTTTAAATTTGTTGCACAACTATGCAATAAAATGTAGCATAAGTGGAGTTATGCCATTGTGTAAAGTTTTGTGAAATTGGCTGCAGTGTTGCTAAAAGCCTTTTATATAGATTCTTTGAAGCCCATTTCTCATGATTTTGTACATATTTTTTATAGCAATTTCACTTTTGTTTTCTCTCTGTAGCTGCTGCTTTTCTTGTTCCCACCATTCTTCAAATCTTCAACATCATGTGCTTTAGAGATAGCACAGATGAGAAGGGACCCCTGGGGTTGATCCTGTCACCATCCAGAGAGCTTGCCATGCAGATTGAAGAGCAAGCCAAGGAACTGATGCAAGGTTAACAGAGCTGGCTTGAAATCAGACTACATACATGTATATGATTTAGGATTTGTATAGCCACACATTGAGAAACCCACAAGATTATCACAAGATAATGAAAAGATGCACAACTAGATTAACACCTTGACTGCCACACCTAATTCCACAGGGCATTCCCATTTGCCAAATGTTGTCCAAATGCGCGCATATTTGATTTGAACATGAGCATTTTGCAGATGAATGTCCTGGACACTGCCAGCAGTGTGTTTGTTATGCTCTTAGTGATGCTAGTGTAGTCAAGTTACGTTGCAGTAGCCTATCATTTCCTAGGAGTATACCTAAAGTGATAGAATCCGGTACACCTGTTAGTACGAGTTTACTTGAAGTGACAGAATCCGGTACACCTGTTACTACGAGTATACTTGAAGTGACAGAATCCGGTACACCTGTTACTACGAGTATACTTGAAGTGACAGAATCCGGTACACCTGTTACTACGAGTATACTAGTTGTCAGCAGTGAATGTGTTAAAGATTTGAATTTGAAATACCCAGTTTTTCGTGTACTTCAGTATTTTGTATCCACAAGGAAAAACGGTACCAGTTTAAAGCTTTATACATGTATATTCCATCCACAAGTCACCATACCAGACCGCTGGATAGCTAGGATTGAATTAGTGAAGGTTCTGAGACATCTGGGTAATAAAACCCCCCCAAATTTTTTCAAACAAGACAGTGGCCTATGAAACTTCATATGGGAAAGCACAGAGTTTCATGACCTATCTGGGTTGCTTCATCAGCTCAACATCGGAAGTGGGAAAGGTTCAGTGGCTAACTCGGTCCAACCCCTGTAAACGTTTAAGTAGTGTTGATTTCCTGCACTGTTTTTTATCTTCGTCAGGGCTGCCCAACATGCGCACAGCTCTGGTTGTAGGCGGAGTGCCACTCCCCACCCAGCTGCACCGACTGAAGCAAGACATCCAGCTTGTCATCGCAACCCCTGGCAGAATCTTGGACGTCCTTGGCCGAGACGGTCAGTGATGGGGGGGCCTAGCAGTGATGTCATGCTTATTTTGGTCTATTGTGGCTAGGAAATATTTTAGATTATTTCAAATTTGGGGGTGGCTAGGTGTTGAGAAGAACATTGTATGGTGATTGTTGGTAATTTTCGTTTTAAGTTAATTACTAATTCAATACCCATTCTTGCAATTGCTGTCATAAAGAGTACAGAATTGCAAATGATTTGTTAGAATTTATCAAAATGAGCATAAACTTATTTTAATGATATGTGTTGTCATGTGTATTTTGTTGACAGGTGTGTCATTAGCAGCCATTAAGGTGGTTGTAATTGATGAGGTTGACACAATGCTACACAAAGGCTTTCAACAGCAGGTATGTCAACACTGCCTTATGCCAGGAATGGTCCAGCTGATCATGCGCAAGTGACAATTTGAATTCTCTCTGTAGTGGCCCGCAACTACGGGACTTAGAAATGATACGTTGAATCTAATGGGTTAAATTTGAAAAGTTTTACTTTTCAATACCAAGAGCTTTACTTGCAGAATATTTCAAATTGACCCTGATATAGTTTCAATATTTCTCATCTGTTTCAAGAAAAGTACCAAATTGAATATTGTCAGGGAAAGAAGTTTTCAGTCACTGACATGTGAGAATGCAGTTTGAAAAGAATTATTGTGGCATATTAGTTTCCGTACTGAGTAAATGTTCAAATTCACTCTCATGACATGCAGGTGATTGAGGTCATAGACCATCTGCCAGAGTCTCACCAAACAATGCTGTTCTCAGCTACAATACCGCCCTCTATTGAGAAGATGGCCACATCGCTTCTTCGCAGTCCCCTGTATATCTCAGTTGGCAAGGTAAATGTCTACATCCCTGTATATTTTTGCAGAGTAATTCTGGCGAGATGTTCAAGATGCCCTACAGTGTGCAATATGAGTGGGAAAGGGGATCTGAAAATTGTCCATTTTGGGGACAAAATGGTCAGATTAAGTCTTTCAAATTAGAATTCAGCTTTAGAGGTGTTTGCTTTTTGTTTTGCATAGAGTAAAGAGATTTTGAATTCAAAATGAAATAAATTGTGTCTTCTTGTGACAAGTACTGGACAAGTAATATCTTGCGTCTATTTCATATCAACTTCATGGAGCAATTATGATGAATGAGATTTTTTTGCTTTGTTGTAATGGTTGAATTTGGATATCACAAAAGTTTAAATATGAAGAAATCAAGTGCATCATGACGTACTTCCTAACTGAAATTCCTGTGAAAAGTATTTTTTTTTCTGTAGTTTTTGTTGGTTATAGAATGTGATTAATTTGTATATCATTTGCTAAGTTGATACATGCTGATTTTTCATTGTCACTGGTTCCCCACCCCTTTCAGCCCAACACTCCATGTACCTCTGTCAGGCAGATTGTGATGTGGGTTGAGGAACCAGCCAAGAAGAAGAACCTCTTTGCCATACTGCAGGACCCCAAGCATTACAGGTGAGTTCCAAAAAGTGAAAATGTTCTTGTGCCCAATTTTAGTGTTTGCTATTTATGCATCGATGACAATTTCTGTACTTTTTTTCTCCTTTTCTGCAGACCTCCACTGGTTGTATTTGTGGACTCCAAAATTGGCGCTGGTTTGCTATCCTTGGCAATTCACAAGGTAGACTAAGCACCAATATATCTAAATGATCATTTCAAATTGGTCCGGATAGCACCATTTTAGAAAGCACCTCCTGTATAAAAAGTATGTATTTTAAAAGGTCTTCCTTTGTGGCCTAACTACCAAAGGCATGTACATGTAGATGGCACTTCCAGAAACTTATTCCGCAAATGCCAAGTGTGCTGTTTATCCGGTAATGGCTGGCTGGCTGGTTCCAGTCTCCACACTATAGACTTTCAAAGGAACAAATGATAACCAGACTAGTGGTTGGAGCACTTTATAAATCAGGCACAGCAAGTAAACAAGAAATGGCACGCAAATTTTCACCAGGCGGTAAGTTTGTCACTTTGGGACAGACTGGGCGTGTGCGTGTGAAAACCGACCCCTTTTAAAACTGATTACGTGTCGAATATTGCAAAAGACAACTAACAATGTATGTTCGGTTAGTCAAAAATTGAATTTTTCGAAAAATATTAAAATCTGGATTCATTTCAGCATGCAGTAGATTTCACTGAAAAATGCACTGTCACTGAAGAGTTATTGATATAAAAACAATGAAAGTTTATTTTCATTCACATGCAATGCTGACAAATCAGTTTAATATGGAATACCTGACAAACCATGATATGAATTGTATAATTATTAGAATTAAGTGGCAATTTTAGGTCGAGCTCATTTTCGTTTCAGATGTGTGACATACACGCTGTTTCCTTACACGGGGACAGACCCCAGAGCGAACGCACCGAGACACTTAGGGGCTTCAGGGAGGGAGAGTACCCAGTCCTGGTGTGCACAGCTGTCCTGGGTAGGGGAATTGACCTGCCAGGGGTCAAGATGGTGGTGAACTTTGACATGCCAACCTCGGTGGAGGAGTACATCCACCAGGTCTGTTGTTTTGCCTCAACATCCAGTCACAGATGACACTTGGGTTACAAAAAAAAAAATTGTAATGATCAAGCATTTATTAGGCGATACTGACTGTGTTAAAGTAAACTTGGATTGCAGCCACCAAGTTATCTATGCACCGTGATACCTGTGAGACTCAACGTTTACTTTGACCAGTTGGAATGCACGTCACAAAAACCAGAGTATTTCACGTCAAATCCGTTAGTACTCATTAAGAGTGCTATTTCATAAAAGTGCTTGCCAATGGTTTCTGTTAGTTCGCAGTTCTGCTCATTTATGTTGGATGGTTCTACCCTGTCTTGTGACTATAATCGCTTGTCAGTGACATATTTCTCAAATGTAAGTTTCCTCAATATTTGGGGAACACGTGAGGATGGTGGGTAATCTGTAAACATTCCCAATATGTGTGCCTGTTGAGTCCTTTTTCTCATTTTCAGATTGGCAGGACAGGTCGTCTGGGCAGCAGAGGCACTGCCATCACCTTCATCAATAACGGGAGCAAAAATATCCTTTCTCATTTTATGGCAGTTACTGTGAACATGAATAGGTCTCTACAGTGGTATTTTTCATTTCACTTTATTGTGATAAATTATCACGGGGCCCGCAAAGCAACCCAAAATAAAACTCTTGGAACGTGTTTCCTTCATTTCCTCTTCATTGTCACGTTTTTGTTGCATACCTTCCTGGAGTTGATTACGAGAATATGCCAGAATGCATACTTTGGCAAGGGCAATTAACCGTTTGGCGTACAATGAAGGCAGTTAATCTGTTGATTGTAGCAGTGCCATTTTATATCCCACGGAGGGGTTCTCAAGTAAGCGCTTTGATGGGAGAAGGATAACCTGCTCTGTAATTAAAAGGTTTTTCATTTGTACGGTATAATCGATCAGTTCATGGTCCTTAACAGACTATGCACATGGTATCTGGTCTCACAGTGTGTGAATGGGCTGCAGCAGAGGCTTCACAACAGCACAGTGCAGTTGGAGTGAAATATCTTTAAAATTCACCTGGTTCCATAAAACTGTGTAATGACAACACGAGGAGTAGGAACACAACCCTTTGGTCCCATTTCAGCTCATATATTTATGTGCCAAGTGAATAATAGCGGAGTACCAGTCTGACGCTTCATACTTTGTATGGCATTTTGGCTGGTAACCTTCATTTGCCATGAGCAAAGATTTTGTTTGCTCAGCAGTTTTCTTCACTTTAGGAAATTGCCGTAGTCTTCGTGACAGCAATCCATCTCATTGCCCATTAAGAGCATGATGTACTGCCCCGTTTAAAAAAGTGTAATCACAGCATTCCATGCAGTCAAAAATGTATATAATTTTGCAACTCCCCTAATTTGAAACTTATGTGGTAATTTTGTTCAATACCATCATCATCCTTATCAACGAATTGTGTTAAACCTACCCACTTTTGAGTAGAATACCACAGTGGCCCAAGAAAGACACAAGTACCACGTGTGTGCCTTTTTATCTGTATAGGAAGTATATTGTAGCATCTTCAGATGTGCATGTGAGTGTATATTGCTTGACGCCGGCCAGTGCCATGCAATAACTGTAAATATTTTCACCACTGAAAAACATGGTCATGCAAAAATGAAGAGAAGATGGTGGATTTGAGTCATTGCTCTTTATATTGTACCCTGGCGTTGGTCCAGAGTTCTAATTTGGCTGGAGTGAAGACTAATTGACACGCACAGAGTCACTGACCTCAGAACTGATTTTATTCCCAGAAGATTTTGGTTTTTGTGTCATGAGTATCTCAAACTATGAAAACAGATTTGCATTTCGTGATGAGGAAGGTGATATGTTGAGAAGGGCTTTAGTAATGTTTTCCCTTAACTGGCTTCCGCACATCTATTCTTGGAGTTTGTCAACACTCTCAGGCCCCTTGGAGTCCCACTCCCACCCCAGCTCACTAACTCCACCCACCTGAGGTACCAGCAGCTGGGGCACCAGAGCTGGAAGGAGGCAAGGCAAAGGAGGAAGGAGAGGAAAGATGAGGAGCATCATGTGGCAGGTCGCTATGGCAACGCAAGCTATTTCAGTTACAAGAGAAGGAAACAGGAGGCAAGGTGAGACAACAGATAGAAATGGGTTCAGTTTTAAAGTAATGCAAGTATTTTGATGTTTCCCAATAATATTTCCTCAGCACTCTATAGCTTACTGGATTGTTCAGGGAATTATTAAAGCACAGTGTACTGCATTATAATGCAGGAGCAAATGGGTTATTGCTTTAAGAAGATAGAGATGCAAAGCAACACAGAAAATGTGAAGGACCTTATGGGCAGTTCAGATTGGATAGCAATGAACTTTTATAGAAAAGTGCACAAGGCATGGCTCAGACTTCTATAGAAAATGAATAACAAATAACTTCATTTCGGGCAGACATCAGTAAGGGAGTTGGTGCTGAAACGGCAGTTAAAGGGCATGTCTATTACAATAATGGAAATGGAAGTAAAATTAAAAAGAGGGATAATTAAAGAAGGATGTCAGTAAGACTTGGCTGTAGCATTAAATGCTAACAAAGGTGTCATAAGTGGTAAGAGATGAAAAATGGTGCTCCGTCGATTTGGCCTGAAATAACACAAACTCAGAAGTATTTCAATTCAAAATGAATTATGATCTTTCATGTTGACTATTTGGTGGTTTTTGACCCATGCCTCCACATGTCTTTCTGTCTGCAGTGCGGTTGGAGAACTTCTGAGGAAACGCAAACACAAGAAGGGACCAAGATGAAAAGCCAAAAAGATTGAAGGCAAAGCAGTCATTCTAAATCCACCACCTAGTCTGATGACATTGTCCACTGATAATTGCCATGTGGACAGTGCACGCCTGAAATTTCAGTTGACTCTCGTGCACTTTGCAGCATAAATTCTCAATGAGGGCCATTAGAGTAATATCATTTATTTGACTGGTGGATTGAGTTGATTCGTGGAACTGATCTGCATATGGATCTTGAATCGTGGGTTACATTTCTTGTGTCGATTTAAATATAGGGACATACTTACTTCAACATGTTTACGAGTCACGGGCAAATACTAATTTTGTTGAAAATAAACTTTTCACACTTTTGCCACAAGTGGAGCGACAGCATATTAGTGCCAATACCCCCAGTTTAAATACCAAACGACTTTGCCTTATTTTTAAAACCGTTCGCCATTACAGTCCAGACCAAATTTGACAATTTGTCAAAGGACTCGGACAGTTTGCTTACATCTTGTATTAAACTTGTAGTAGAGAGAGTTTCCCCAAGTCCAGCACACTTTTGATTGTATGCAAAATGTATTTTCAGGGTCGATGTAAGGTAAATGTGCAGACACCTTACACATTTTTGTATATTTCAGAGAGGTTTTTCCAGGTTAAATGATGAATGTGACAATTTAATTGAATGAAATTTGACTCAAAATAAAATGAAAAACACTGTCAATTTAATTTTCAACAAAATATTTATTACAGCCAGCCGATGACAAACCTGGTACATTCCACAGTAAATGGAAAAGATATCATCAGGGCTATAATAACATTGGCAACTAAAGCTTGAATGCACTCTTTTCAATAATCCATTCTTGAACGATTAAAAAAACCCCACTAGTTAGGTCATTATGAAACTCGGCATGAATCTGTCACTTCAAAAATTGCAGTAATTTTCTTCAGATGCTCAAGGGTAATGTAGGCCCAACACTTTTACTTACATAAATAACCAAAAGGCCTAATGACATTTTAATTTCAAGGAAATTCTAACCTGAAGCCAATTTATATTCACTTGTGCTTTACGGGTTTTTTTTTTGGGGGGGGGAGCCTACTGAATGACATTTGAGAAACAGGTTTAATAGATCTAACCATGAAATCATAGAAAACTTCCGGACTACAGTGAACATGAACTGAACCATTCCATAGCACAGTACTTCTGATGCTGGCTGAAGACTGTGAGTGTATGTGAGTGTGTGTGTGAACAACCTACAAAATGAAAACTTCATATTTTAAGAACTGCTTCACAACATCAACGATTTCATCCAAGTGCAGTCTCTCCTAAAGGTAAGGAGATAAGACAGGGCTAAACACACTGGGCTGCAGCAACTGTCTTACCCTTGAATCAAATTCAATCTCATTCGATACTAATAACAAAAATCCAGTCTTCTCTCTCCCTCTTTCAAAACCAGCCAAAACTATATAAATTCTGAAGCGCTTTTAAGTTGGATAGTTGGAGGCCATTTTTATCTTGGGACCTCTCACTGCTCAAACGTCTCCAGGAATTTGGTAACGACCCCCTTGAGTTTCTCTTCCGTCTCTGGTGTAATGGAGCCCTTGGTGCGGATGTCAGCCAAGATCTCCTGCTGGCTGGTCTGGATGTGGGCCAGGAAGGCCTTCTCAAACTTGGTGATGTTGGAGGGGTCAACCTTGTCCAGGTAGCCGCGGACGCCCGAGAAGATGACAGCCACTTGTTCCTCTACGGCCATGGGGACTACAAATCATAAAAACAAGGAATTGGTGATTTCAAAAGCCATGCTTCTCATTTGTAATGCAACAAATTCGTTGTGAAAGCATCTCAAAACTGGTTGATAGTTCCTCAACAGATCTTAAAATACGCCTGTCCACACTTTGTTACATAAACTGTCACTGATAAGCATAAATTTCGAAAAAAGATTTACAATTGCAATTGGTTGTACTGCATTTAAAAACTGAATGGTAAATTACAAAACAATTTCAGGTCCAAAATTCCTCATATCGTATTTACTGTTTTCTTTGTCTCATGTGAAAATCAATACTGATTACAAAATATGCTTTTAAGTACTTAATATTCTTCAGATTGTAACCTTAACTTGAATAGTATTAATAATAGCAGAACACAGAAAAAAGGAAACCTGACAATCACCAACAGCAAAGGCCATTCACAAAATATGGCCATTCGATTGTCAGAAATCCTCCATGCCTGAAATGACGACAATAAGCAACATACCATACTGTCCCTGCTTGAGCAGCTCGGTCAGGCGCACACCCCTGTTGAGCAGGTTCTGGGTGGCTGCGTCCAGGTCAGAACCAAACTGGGCAAAGGCCGCCACCTCACGGTACAGGGCCAGCTCCAGCTTCATGGAGCCGGCCACCTGCTTCATGGCCTTGATCTGGGCGGCCGAGCCCACACGGCTGACCGACAGGCCCACGTTGATGGCTGGGCGGATGCCCTTGTAGAACAGCTCTGTCTCCAAGAAGATCTGTAGTGAATGAAATCATGTCAGTTTTCGGAGCGACTGGACCCAGAATTAACATTGAGCATGCTGAAACTTTAACAATTTCAAAACCACATTAAAATACACTGATTCCTAACAAGTTACACCCGAACCAATGGTATACTGGAGCATATAACTGCTCAACCTACTTTACACCTAGTGAAAGAGCTAGCATATGCAACGTAACACCAAAACTCTGTGATTAAAAGATCAAACAGGTAATCATCATTGTGACTTGTGCACTGCTGCTTGTATGCCTCTATGTGGAATGGTTTGAAAAATACCTGAATACCTAAAGAGGGGAAATCACTCCAGGCAGTAACACACTTTACCCTTTCTCTTCTCAAAATCTGTGGTAACTGGCAACAGGTATTCAGTTGTTCTTGTGTCCTTTGACTGTAACACCAAATATTGGTACATGAGTAAGCTCAAAATGCACTGAAAAAGTACTGAGCTTTCTGTACCTGTCCATCGGTGATGGAGATGACATTGGTGGGGATGTAAGCAGACACGTCACCAGCCTGGGTCTCAATGACAGGCAAGGCAGTCAGGGAGCCACCGCCAAAGTCGTCGTTCATCTTGGCAGCACGCTCCAGCAGACGGGAGTGGAGGTAAAAAACATCACCAGGGTAGGCCTCACGGCCTGGGGGACGCCGCAGTAGGAGAGACATCTGACGGTAGGCAACAGCCTGGAAGGAAAAACAATGGTATGGTATTTGAAGATTAATAACACTTAACATGGGCCGGCTGGATCCTTAGTGTCACGTAGCCACTGAGTGCAGAATAATTCGCTGCAAAATCTGGCTGGCCATGATTTCACATTTGCACATAATTGTATATAATTAAATGTTCACCCATTTTCACTGTATTCTGAGCTACATACAGAGTAATTTCCTCCCCCCCCAAAAAAAAAACTGAAACAGAAAAAGAGCAAATAATGCATCCAACCTGGTAATCCATGGTGTTTACCAAAGTAGCAGACAAGTGGGTCTGGATGCAATATGATTTACAATGTAAACATTCTTTACCTATACTTTTTATTGACAAGGTTGTAAAACTGACATGCGCTTTTACACAAGGCCAGTAAGCATACTTTTCCAATTACAAGTAGGGGCCTAGCCTGTGCTGATTTTTTGGGGGGGATGGTACAGCAGAGCTTCTGGTGAGCAAAGAAAAGAAGTACCTGCTTGGACAGATCGTCGTAGATGATGAGTGCATGTCTGCCATTGTCTCTGAAGAACTCTCCCATGGCACAGCCAGAGTAAGGTGCTAGATACTGCAGGGGAGCAGCATCGGAAGCGGTAGCACTGACCACGATGGTGTACTTCATGGCATCTGGTATGAAGGAAATAAAGAGAAAAAATGTGGAAAAAAATTACAAAGGAATAGTGCATCTTGCTTAAACTAAGGAAAAAGACGTAGTTCTAATAAGTCCATACTCATACACCTGTAAGGCTAAAACGTTGAAATTTTATAAATGAAAGAGTAATCATATTCACAATCTGAGCTTTCACAGAATTTCAGATGTCAGTCAAGGGATTGCTTGTAAGAATGGGCATTCAGAAAGGGACAAACTGAAGCTTATTCAAACTACATAAAATGTAATTTTATTTATAAAATACACCCACCCCCCCAAAAAAATCCTATAAATACGCCAGAGTATGAATAGCAGCAAGACAAAAACTGAACAAACAAAATGTATCAGGAAGTGTTTAGCATTATGGTGGAACAAGTATGAAGACAGCGTACGTGTGAACAGTAGCCCTAAATTTCCAATGTCTCAGTGCAAAGCATGTGAACAGGTGTTTCTCAGATCAGCTTGATTATGTGTTCTGAGCAGTAGTCTTTTTGCATACTTGGGGTAGTAACACTTCTGAAGGTTATTCACTGGTGGGGCAATGCAACTGTGCTCAAGGACAATGCAGTACCTGCATCAGTGAGCCTCTTGACCAGCTGAGCCACAGTACTCCTCTTTTGGCCGATGGCCACATAGATGCAGTACAGCTTGGCCTTCTCATCAGTGCCTTCGTTGAAGCGCTTCTGGTTGATGATGGTGTCAATGGCCACAGCAGTTTTCCTGCCGAAGTCAAACAAGCAAAGTTGTCAATCATACGGAGTGGTACCATACTCTACATGCTTAGTGTGCTATGGGTTTCTCAACTGTATTTTAAGACTTGCTGTTCTGCTGTCAATGCTTCTGATTACACGACATCTGTGAATCGCAAAAGTGCTTTGTTCAACATCAAAAACTGCTATCACATGGGTATATAAGGAAACTGCCCCTTACCCTGTCTGCCTGTCGCCAATGATCAACTCTCTCTGGCCACGGCCGATGGGCACCAGACTGTCCACAGCCTTGATGCCAGTCTGCATTGGCTCCCTGACAGAGATGCGGGGGATGATGCCTGGTGCCTTGACTCCCACACGGGCACGAGTCGAGGTCTTGATCGGGCCCTGGAAGGGAAAGAAAGCGGGTGAAACGTAACAGAAAAGACAACACCATGCTGCTTAATTTTTAACTGCTGATCATAATAGCAGAATGGATAAATTCCAGGGCAGTACAAGTATAAACAGACCAAACAATGCGATAAATGCAACCTACATGAAACATCAATCTTCATGGAATACGGGCGATTCACATAAGTGCGCCACCAAGAGTTTGCCACACGTTGGCCAATCACAATGCACGAAATTTGTCGACCCTTTCCAAACGCGCATTGGGTCGACAAATTTCGCGCATTGTGAATGGCCAACGCGTTGCAAACTCTTGGTGGCGCACTATTGTGAAATGGCCGTATTGGACAATTTGTTCCATTATTCTATTTAGCAAATGTTACTACGGACTTGCAACAGGAACTGACAAAGTAAGTGACATTTTTAAAGGTCTTGCCCAGAGTAATGGTTTAAAGTTAAACCTGTCATAAATATTTAATGCTATGCACAAGTAAACAGGTCCAACAGGTCTGATTTACAAGTCTGAAAGACTTTACAGCTAGAACAGGCCTATGCACTGATGGAACCACACTTCGTGTACATGTGCTCTTTCCTGTGGGTGACAGGTGAGGAGGGCAGATTCAAAAGCCAATAGGAAGCGCACAGGCAAACAAAGTGTGATGTCACCAGTACACGTCAATCTCACACACCTTGCCGTCAATGGGCATCCCCAGGGCATCCACTACCCGACCAAGCATTTCCATGCCGATGGGCACATCCACAATGGCGCCCGTTCTCTTGACCACGTCTCCCTCCTTGATCAGCTTGTCGTTACCAAAGACCACAACACCGACATTGTCCGGTTCCAAGTTCAAGGCCATACCCTAAAACAATAAATGTTCACATTTGAAAATTTTTTAAATATTACACTAAAAAATAAAGCCTGAAACATTTGGTATCTTTCTCTATCAAGGCTTTTCTTGTGAGCATACCTCTTGGGTAAAACTGATGGAAAAATGAAAAACCATGTAACATAAGGTAGATGCCAACAACGACAAACAATAAAGTACTGTAACCCTTCAGGGTTATAAAAGCTAACAGGATATGAATGGTACTAATGAAATAAATGATAAACTTCTACTTTTGTCCCAAGTGCTAAAATGAAACAAGACATGACACATTAGATCTCTAGAAAATAACAATTTGGGGGTCAAAACCCCTAAAACCCTGACAAAAAACACCTTTATAAATTGGACAAAGATGCTTTATTCTTTAACTCCTCACGCCACCTTGAAAAACCAAGATGATTAGCTTTTTTTCAAAGTTTTTCCCTCAAAAAGGGAAAAATTCTGCCATTGTATTCAGAACTGGTAAGAAATGAAACATGCCTCAAGCCACGGTAACACTCCAACAACCATTTGGTTTACCTTCAGTCCACTGGAGAATTCCACCATTTCCTCTGCCTGGATGTTCTTCAGACCATAGACACGAGCGATACCGTCACCAATGGACAGCACCCGGCCAGTTTCCTCCATATTCTCCTTGGGTGAGAAGCCCATGATGCGCTCCTCCAGGATGGAGGAAATCTCGGCAGTGCCTGCGAAAGAAACATGTGGCTCATGACAACAGATCCTTGGCGGTGGAAATGATCTAAGCAAGACTGCAACCGATCCACAAGGTTAACCCTAACAGTCCTCAATCCTTCACCTGTTGGAGGATTGAGGACTGTTACGGTTGATGTTTCATGCTACAGAGTGAGTTCATGAACATATCCACAACAAATATGACCAAACTGTCATACTTTCTTTCTTTAAAACCTGATTTTAAGGTTTTGAACCCCATCATATGGTTAATGAATTCATTGGTTTTGAAGTCATTTAGCATGAATTTTAACAAGGTCACAGGGTTCAGTAAGTTTTCTTACTTTTAAGTTCTTTTTATGTCTCACTGTAAAATGAAATTCAATGGGACTTTACCTCCAGCCGCAGCATGTGTTGGTCTTGATGTACAGATATTCCTATGGCATGAGAAGGCTGCCCCCAAGCATCCTTTTGTAACCTGTGGTGTAATCAAATTATCAGAAAAAAATGCATTTCAAAAATATACATGTTAAAAATAGAAAGCATTAGTCATGCATAAAAACTGGGATGAGATTCTCAGAAAATGAAAAAAGCTGAAATTTGCAAGCCTGCGGCACAAAGGCTATTACAGCCCTATTAAAAGGGGGCCCCAGGAAAATTTTCAACTTTAGATGCTCTCCAATCTAAGCCCCTCTGGGACACATTTTACAATAGAAACATTAGTGAAAGTCTGCCCTGAAAAACCTAACCTTTTTATTACATGTAATGGTTCACTTGATATGTGTTATAAAGACCCACCACAAGTTTTGTTCATCACTTGTAGTTTGTCACGTGCTTCAAAATACATGTCAATTATGTACACCTTGTGTACATAAATGTTGCCTTTTTGGCCCTTTTCCCACTCCGTACGAATTTTCGTCTGACTTGTACATTACACAGACTCCTTTGTACAGTGAAGTAATGGTACCCTGTAGGAGAGAGCCTGTTTAGTTTGCACCCAGACTTACTTCAGAACCTACTGATCTCGCTCAGATCTGCAAGAGTACCTGTCGATCTAAGTACTCGTAGAAAATTATGGCTGCTTTGTGTTGCACCTAATACCCAACGCCCTTGGCTGGTCCAGTCACACACTGTTTGCGGCAAATCATTGGTAGCGTAGCTTGCTCTCTGTAACATGACACAAAAGTGACGATACAGCCATCGCTTTTGTGCAAGTGGGGCAAACTTCGTCCGGAGTGGGAAAACAGCAAAAAAGGCAACATTTTTTTCCTCAAATGAGGAAAAGGCGAGTTTTCTACAATTAACAACCTAGCGGATGGTTTACATCGTAAGTAGTGAACATACCGGCGCAATTTCAGCTCATAAAATCAAGCCGATGTTTAGTTAGACCTATGCCCCTGGATAACTTTTTTGAAAGAAATCCCTATGTATCGGGACAGGGCCCAGTATTCGTGGGGCCCTGTTTACAGGTCTACACCTAGGCCTACATGACCTGTGTTTGTGACTCATCAAATAGCCGATTAACCTTAGACCTACTCCTGTAATCATGGCTTTGGAGGATGTTTTTAGAAGGGAATTAAGTTCTTTGATAAGACTTTCTCCTGTATTAGTGGCTTGGGAGGATGTTACATTACTCCCATCAGCAACATCGTAACCACAGTAGGGGTACTACTTGGTATGGACTTAAAATTTTTCATGCCGTTCCCATTCATTCAGCCTGCATTCATTGACCCTCGCATCCCCACATGAAATCCCATTTGGTTAGCTTGCGCCCATTTGCAACTTTGCCCGTTTGCAACTGCGCCCATTTCATTTTATAGCTTGGCCTGCTCTGCACCGCGGCCACTTCAACATCGTAGCCAACAATTTCAAAGGAGGTAACCTTTCCAATGGTGGGGTATTCTGAAATTACTCCGAGGAAATTTACAAAAAATGAACAGCATTAAAAAGGGCCTTTAGAGGTTTTTATCCGCTATCAGGCACCGGCTAACCGCACGCGGGGCCCCTGCCGGAGGAATTCCTTAGCCGGTCATGCGCCAGTAGTGCAGGTGGGCTAACATAGCTAAACACCGCGAATACTGAGAAGAGTTTAAGCCGAATGCATTACAACAAACGACCTGACCAAAGTTATTTGTAAGTATACCTGTGGAGCCTGTCTTGTTAACGCCCTGGCCACGGCGGCCGTTACACGAGCCGAAATCATCGCCATATTTTTGGTAACTTCTCCAACGAAAATGGCAGAGACCGGCTTCTTGCCCCTGTCTTTAAGCGTGTGAAACCCGGACTACAGGATGGCTCAAACACGAAATAATTATAATTTATTCCGGTTTTGGAAAAGCAAGAAATATTTTTAAATCTAAAGTAATAAAAGGAACACTGAAAGATAATACTGATTTAATTGCACAATTTCATTTAAAATTTTTATTTTTTTCTATTTTAGATAGCTTCTTTGGAGATTACTTTTACCAACGAGCCTGAAAAACTTTCTGTAAATCCAAAATGGCTGCGCCCATGAGAGCCAACAAATTAGATATGAATCGTAAGCAAGAAAAGAAGACATTCCCAGTTTTATCCGACAGTGCTGAAGACATTATCATAAATCTTGTCGATGACGATGACGAAGAAGATGAAGAGCCGGTTGCAGCATCAGCTAAAGAACCAGTAACTCAAGATCAAAAGGATTTCTCTAAACTTCCCGAGGTAATGCTGTTATTTATAATTTGCCTTCACCAGTTGCGATATTAAGATAATACATGTGTAGTTGGTGTCGCGTTGCACTTTTATTGGTAAACTCTCCACATTCTGTACTGTGCACACATGAAACTTTTGATATGCATTTGAAAGAATTCATAATCATGGGCCAAAGGACACTAGACGCAGTTCACAACATGACAGATTTTTCCCTCCCAGTACAGTAGGCCCTATCTGGTTCATAAGTGACTTCATCACAAAGGCAGACACACCACAATTAGCAGGCTCCCATTGGACGATCGCTGAAGTTGCGCGTTAACTTCCGGTTCCATGGTTCGACCTAAATGGCAATCATTGCATGTAACTCTATGTGCAGTGCACATGTGCAGTGGGCGTGGTTTAAACTGAAGTGATATCACACTTACGAACTGGATAGTATTACAAGTATTAGCCATCTGAGAGCAATAACATGGGGTTTATACACAGGGTGAGGCATACGTATATGGAGCTCTTTCCAAAAGCGGAGTGTCATTAAAAAGATTCTGTTGTGTATATTTGTTCAAAAATGATTAAGTGGTATTTGGGCACCTATTGCATAGGCTGTTTTAAGTTACTATTAGCGAACAGGGTGATGTACTCCTTTCTTATGGTTTTTTACCATGTTTACATTGGCTAGTCATGCTAGTATGACCAACCAAACTCAAATTTTGGAAAAGAGTGAAGTGTACCAGTTACTGGGATTTAAAATTGTGATAAGTCCTTGATGAGTTTTTCCAGTGAGTCATTTACAACCTGCTGTATTTTACAACATTAGGCCAATGTACTTGACTCAGCAGTTCCTTCTTTCTAAATTTTTAAGGTAAAATGCCTACATGTACCCTCCAGTAACTCCTTTCTCCCACTTTCCACATATATCAGGCAGCACAAAAGCTCCTCAAGAGTCTGGAATTCAAAAACCCTGGGAGGCGGCAATTTGACATGAGCACCTTTGACCCAGAGAACAGTGAACGAGAGATGAGGAAACTAAGGCGAACCTTTCAGAGTACAAGTATTACGTGAGTTGACATACACCTGACAGGTTCTACCTTAAGTTCAGGGTTGCAGTGGAGCTATCTAAGATGCCACTCCAAGTTTACGTGTTAACCTTTCAGTGGAAAAAAGGTATCAGTTTAAAAGTTATCTTCACTGCTGTGTATTCGACTTTCAGGCAAAAATCCCGAAATCATGTCATGTACAATGAGAAAGGATTGCTGTTGGCTGACAACCGAGACCTCTGTGACTGCCTGAATGTAAAGTGCCCTGGCTGCTTCTATCCATGTGAGCAGTGCTCCTCCACAAAATGTGGGGTGCAGTGCCGCTGCAACAGGAAATGGGTTTATAACAAAGTGGAGAACGAGAGTGGAGAAGATGTTGTGGAATTCGATAAGAGGACTTGACATGCCTTGCAGTCACCTCCAGCTGTTGCAGTTTAGGAAAGCCCAAAAAAGTTAGGGACCGCTTTTTTCTTAACTTGGAATTTTTTTCTAGGCAATGAGTGGGGTCCAGTTCTTTCATGTTTTAGTATGTCTAAATAGTGTTCTAATTAGAATATAAATTTTTTTTTTAAATTTCAAAATATCAAGCACACATTTTCAACAGTAAAATGTGTCATTTAAAAAAAGTATACACAAAAAAGCAGTCCTTAACTTTTTTGTGTATAAACATGTTCAGTAAAAATCATTTGTTGTTCACATATTTATTTCACACAAAATTCTTATCCATGGCTTTATTCAACAAACTGCATCATTACACTCCCAAATGTAAATAATGTATACATTTTGTAAATAGCTTCATAAAGCAAGTCCACAAATAAATTTTGGGTAACAACTTAGTGTCAAGTGCAGTGTAAAATTAATGGCTGCAGTTTTTGAGTTAAGCCATTGCTCATGTATTTCCCCCAAATGCCTCATCCTCATAATTTCCTGTGGTACATTTCCTCCTTTCTCGTTGAAGTTGATAACTCAACAGACAGTTCATTTTCTGAAGATTTATTTTCTATTTGCTTCACAAATTCTAATCGAGTATCAAATATATTACACTGCGAGAAAAAAAATGGTCAACAGCTTAAAAGATTGGTCAATTTACAATCAATACAAAATCACCAATGGGAAAAATAACTGCACTGAAAAAATACAACCTGTCTGTATTACATTGAAGTGATCCAATAAATTGAGTCTAAAATCACAAAAGCTACCTGAGAAAGGCCCTTTAAGGGAATCTAAACTCCCTTTAAGCAATCTTGCACGAAATTTGAGGTAAAAATTGCTATCCACATAAATGGCCAATTCATATTCAACAGTCAAAATTGTAGAGGAAAAACTAACACAGTAAAACACTGCCCTGAAGACGAATTTTGTGTGCCATGATTACGTTTGCTTTATGGCTGGGAGAAAAAAAAAGGATTAATGTCAGAAATATGAAATGAACTGCAACTGGCCTTTACCTCTAATTACATGACATGGCATACATAGTGTGGACCTCTGCACAAAAGAAGTAGGGTATGATGGCGTTGTGTGGACTCGCACACATCCACACAATGTTTTCCCCTCTCTGAAAAAAAGTGTCAGAGGCATTTTGGGGTCAAGGTTATCAGTGGCAAAATACAAGAGGAACAGTCCAGGGAATCATCATCAAACATCCAGCTCCGAGTCATCCCAGTTGGAGAAAAAGGAGCATTTTCCTCAAGTTTCCTCAACCACAGGAGAACAAAGGAATGTCCACACTTTGTGTGTAAATAGGTATGGGTGCTTTGGCAAGTGTTTCAAACATCAGCATTTAATATTCTTTCACCCTGATTCAGATCTTGATCAAGCATAGATGTACACAAACCTACTATTTGATTGGGAAGACCTTCCATGTAATGACAGGTCTTGGAGGAAACAAAGCATGCTCCCAAATTCGAAGATCAAAATATTCCTTGCCTTTAAATTTTCAGGAATTTTCTTTGATTCTTTTTCAGTCAAGGAGAACACATTGCAGCATTTTAGGACAACTGAATTTCTACGTTTCAAGTGTTTAAGATCAAACCACATTTTCTATTTGTGGAATAATACTGATCCAGTTCATCTCAAATTTTTTCTTGTTTGTCCTGACAAATGTAGCAGTACCTCATAACTCCCCATACAATTAGAGTCGCAGTTTGTAGAATGCTTCTCCACACAGTATTTCCCAAACTTCTACTGAATACATGCTGTCACCTCGCAACAGTTCTTGAGGTACCACACTGTCATTCGTACAAGTAGCGTCAAAATGTTCCTGTTCTTCCCATTCACATTTTTATGACGATACCCCTTTCCGTGACTAGCTCCATTCCAATCGAAACAAATAAGCAACATGGCTTTCAGACGATTTTTTTTTTCATGCGATAAGGCAGATTGTCAATCTTGTACTTAAGTTTTCACCCTTTTCCCAAACTGAATCCATGACTGGAATCAATGGGTGGGATGAAGAAATTCTAAGTACTGGTGCTGCATTCATCAAAGTTTCTCAAACTTATTTGCATGATTGATTTGGACAGAGGCAAACAATTATGTCTTTTCAGTTTTCTTCCTCCGTCTTGCCTCTCCAGTAGCCTTGTCTTTCTTGGCACTCTCTTGTGATGGTTTTGTTCTCTTCCCCTTGCTGGTTTCGGGGTCTGTACTCTTGTCTGTTTTCTTATCAGCATCTGATCATGAGGGTAGAGCAATGAAATGGAAAACAGATATATTGGTGAAATCACTTACCACAAAAAATTTAAAATGCAAGATGTGGTTTACCTCCTAATGAAGAACGTGTACTTGTGCACTGCTTCCTGAATTTTGTTCAGGAATGATCACCTGTTTTACAAGGATTTTTTAAATCTGATTTTCACAAGAGCTGTGACCTGCATTTTTGGAGTTTGCATTTTAGTGTAACCTTTATGTGGGCTAAAACTACACTAGTGGAAATTGATAAGAATTCAAAACCTTACAAGAATGAAGCTGCAAGATTTAGATACAAGATCATTAAATAATCAGTCAATACAAAATTCATGCAATGGAAAGTTATATCCTTAATTCATGTCAATATTTTGATAAGATGCATCATGTGTGGGAATCATGTGACAAGATCAGGATTTGAAACAACATCAAACAACCTGTCTACAATCTGTCAACAAAACTAAACAAAAGTGAAAATAAAAGTCATTATTGATCTACGACAGCACATCAGAGTCACTAACAGAGGTGCTTCCAGTTTCTAAGGCACATGAGGGGAAAAGGACATCGAGAATGGCGATTTGATCTCCAAAAACAATTGTCCAATTTTGTTTCATAAGTAAAAGAATCCTCAACCTCCATCCAACAAAGGAGGTAGTGCTGTTTCTAAAGTGTTGATGCTTCCAATTTCTGAATGAAATATAAAAGGAAAAATAATGGGGGGGGCAACGCCTGATACACCACTGGTTACTAAGAATAGATGTTTAAAAATGATTCTCCATACCATTTTGTTCAGGAGGTGGTTGTAGCATTGCGTCATGGTAGGTGGTAAGTACATAAAAATACATCCAAGACCCACAGTAGCCAAGCATCCCAAATAAGGCGACAAACGCAAGTTTGACGTAGCCCTGAAGAGAAGGAAAACTTGGAAGGATTGATAAATTGACTTCAATGCACTGCACATTTTCTGATGAACTCAATGGAACTTTAAAATTTAATGTAAAATGCTCGCAGACTAACACAGACTCAAAGGAATATTATCCTCTTAAAACTGTCTAGTTCAGATTCCCACCTACATTTTGCAAGCAACTGACCACCTTTCCCTGCAAAATACCATGAATTATGTTGTGTATCTTCAGCGCATATTTAGCCAGAAAATGTAGACATTGGTACCACGGTGAAAAGCATTTAAGAAATAGTTATGGAACTCCAAGGACTTCCCTTGAAACGAAACAATGTTTCAGGCGTCAATACGTGTAGTTGGCCAGGATGTATGCAACTGGGATATATTCAAAGTCAATATCCGGAAGGGATATTTGCATAATGATCAAGAAAAGCTTCCAAACTGCACTACTGCCTTGGCTTTAGCCTGTCATCGACCCTATCACACCATTCCAAAGTCTTGACGAGCTTAGATCAACATCAACGTTTATCACAAAAGGCCAGGTATATGCCTGATGCTCAAGAACAATGAGATCATTCCATCCAGGGATCCTGTCAAATGTAGATGTAGGTCTGGAGTTTGGTTTAGAATGGCTTGCAAGTCCACTGTTGGACTACTTTAAGCCCAAACTCTGATTCAGATGGGAGTACAACATGGGTTCAGTTTTCTTTAATGGGAATAGATTACCTCCAATGAAGGTTTAGATGTGAGATAGTGATCTGCCAAGGTGAGAAGTATACCGATGAGAAATCCGATGCCTATGCTGATGAAGGGGATTCTTATTGCAGCTGGAGCACGGAAGAGAAAATGGACGGCCTGGTTCACTTCCTGATCACGTTTGATCTGATTAGCAAATATGTCTTGTTGCACAAGCAATATATGAACACAGCAAATGGAGTGTACATTTGGTCCTTGTACCACAGCACATCTCACCAATTATTTTATTGGGTAAAGTTCACATTAAAAATTTATTGAGGAAGTCAACTATTAGTGTGTAAGAGTGAAATGTGATTCTTGATCATTTGGATTTTTTTCTATATCTTTTGTAGATATTAATATTACACTTGAACAAAAGTAAAAGACTGTTTTTGAAAACTCGTCTTTGAAAGCGTTTTGCCGAAAGTTTGATAAAACAAACTGTACAGAGACACTGACTAGGTGCTTGTATAGTTATTATAAATATCTACAAAGAAACCGACCAGAGTGGGATATCTTCAACCTCCACCCAAACTTCAAAAATAACTCAAACACCCACTCAGATGGAAACAAACTGAAAAACACCAGCTTTAGAAATGGTTGCAAGTCCAGCACTGCCAAAGCAAAACCTCACAACTGCTTTCAATACTTACTTGACATAAGCAACTTGGTTGGAAAGGCATGCAAACTAACCACAGGAAACAATTATGATTGCCGTATTTTATACAACATACCAGCCTTCATTTTCTTGACTTCTTCTTGTGCTTTCTCCAGAGCTGACTTCAGTTTGAGATCGCTTTCATCCAAGCTAATAGCTTTCTAAAAGAAAATAAATATCAATGCAAATAGAATGTAATTTATGTAAGCATGCAAGTGATACCTTTAACCCTGTGAGGAGCCTTCTCATTGCACTCAAATCCAGTATGCTATCTACATGTACGCAGCTGCCAAACAGGCTAGTAGTTTCAACTTTTAAGCAGCTACAGAAGGTCCAAAATGGACACTTTGATTCAATATGTCTTTAATCTCATAAGCTGTCCATTATTCAAGAATCAATGATCCTCCGGCTAGGGCATGAGATTTTTAAGCAGTCATACTCACTTCATAGGAGTTCACAGCATCTTGGTAATGTCCGGTTCGAAATTCCACTTCCCCTTTCCTGAAATAACCCTAGGAGAAAACAAAACAAGATGGCATAAGAACACAGAACTAAGATGATGTGTTACCATACGACCAGTTCCATGTGATATTGGAATTTTGGTCACACCATTAACGACATCATTATTGTAGGCAATTCCTTGAAATAAAAAGGTTTTAAAAACAAAACAAAAACAAAACAGTGGAAAAGTTTCCATGACAATTAACTTTACCTTCAATTTCTTTTATGGGAAACTTCTTTTATTTATGAATTATGATTAATAATATGGTCAGTAATGGCCTGACCAAATTTCCACTTCCACATTGGCTGACAAAAAAACCCACTAAGACCTCACTTGAGTCTTGCGAGACAAAACCTGGTCCAAGTGTTCTCAACTTTTAGCCAACAGAATCCCGAGTGTTTTCCCAACACTATTGGAACTTTCAAGTCGGGCTTCAGTCCACACTTTCAATGGAGTTTCCTCCACGCCTCCGCACCACTGAGTCGAACCGCATGATTTGAAAATTGAAATGTTTGAACTGACTGCCAAGTTTGCTGCATCTACAGTGATCCAGGCTTTCCTTTCTGGAAAAATGACTTTTCAGGGGAATGCGTACTGGTAGAAATATGGACCCCCCTATAAATGCTTCTACTGAAAAACACGACACAGCATTCAACAGTATGGCAGTCCTTCCACGTGGTGGTGTTAGTTTTTGTTGTGTACACTTCCACTGTTTAAGTTTTGGTCCTCCAAAATTCTCATGCCGTGAGTGCATGGCCAGAAATGTGCAGTCCATTTTGTAGGATGCATTGTGTCAAGGTCTTGGGCTGCACCTTGCACTGCTTACATGTGCTCAGCCATGCATAAATGTAGGTCAAGATTATACTGGAAATCATTCAAGCTGCTCAAAGATATCATGTATACTGCCTCAAACACATTGGCAGGAGTTGCAGAATGGTTTTGAAGGATTGAAATAGCGGTCAACCCTCCCGGAACATGTTCAAGGGATACTGCAGTGTTCTCCATGAGGGGTTTTAGGCCGCCCCGCTAATGTTTTGCCACCCCACCAAAATTCTAACCGCCGTGCTATTTTTTCTATTGGATTTTCCCCATTCAACTATGTCTTCATGGCTTATCTAAGTGCGAAGAAGTTTCCTGCACTTTGTGGAACCAAAATGATGAGTTTGACAGCATCAATATCCAGCACAACAGTTTTGCACTTGGCAACGAACCCAGACACAGTACGTAAGCAGTGAAGCCCAAAATTCTGGGCTGGTTCCAATCTCCGTTGGTTTAAATGTACCATCTTCATATACACCCGCATGAATGAATGCAAAAGAAAAGTTCCCATTAGTCTGTCTCTTCTCTTTGCCGGTGAACAGTAGTGCTTCTAGTTGGTGGGTACTGACAGTCTCCAGTTTGGGGTTATCCACCCTGATTTGAAGTGCACCCTAACCGGCGAAAGAAAGACAGATGGTACTAAGTTTTCCAACCAGGTTCTAACACTCGTTCGGCGTGCACGCAAAGACCACACATTCTAGACTAAAATCGTTGCGCGTACTCAGCGTGCTCCGCATCAAATGCGCATAAACTTACGAACCTATGCGGTGCGTGAGTACTAAAGGAGTGTCGATTTCATTTTAAACATGCGGTCTTTTGTTCCTGCTCAGAGCGGATTATTTAAAGATACCTTTGGCCAGTTGGGCTTTAGCTGGATGGCCTTTTTGGCATCCTCCAGTGCATGGTAGTGCTGCTCGATCTTCAGGAATGCCAGTGAGCGATTGCTGTAAGAGCGGTGGTCGGATGGGTTCAATTTAATGGCCTCCGTGTAATAGAAGAATGCCTGTGTGGCACGACCTTGCTTCATGCAGTCATTACCCCGTTCCCTAGCCTCGTCAGCCTTCTCCTTGATTAAAAAATAATTGAGAAATAATTTTTTCTTTTTAACTGCAAAAAGACTGCCAAGTTCGATCAGTGACCCGCTTGTCAACCATTGAACAATTTTGCCTGCTACTTGCTACAACTAATAAGCTTGGATTATAGGGCCAAGTTGTCCATAATTGCCCCAAAGGTACAGCATGTAACGCCACACGAAAGAATGTGGCTGAATATTACTAGGAAAGAATTCAATATACGCACACCCCTTGACACCCTGTGCACAAACCCTATGAGACTGGTCTAACAAATTCTTAGTAAACGACTTGGTATTTTCCTTCCTAAATTGAATTTCTGGACATGGTTTTGCTTTCTGATAGGTCTGCTAATAGGTAACTGCAGGGAATTAGTACTAACATACAAATTCAAAACTTTTTCATTGGTTTACTTGCAACATGATCATGAATATTGCTAATGTATTGTCACATTAATATTAGTTCACTATTGAAATGTGGAGAAGCTGTGTGGCATGGCAGACATGGTAGATGATTTTAGATTATGGGGTAGGCCAGGGCTTATATTGTCAATTCTTTGTCATCATTTTGAGCATTGGGGGGGGGGGTCTGTACGCGATGATGATGGTACACAGCAGGCCTAGGCATACTGTTTCAGTTAAAATTCCACTTACGAATACTGCTTGACACCTAGCCCCACTAGTGCGGCACGGATCACTCCCGATTTATCCTTAAGGATACATCGGGAGTGATCCGTGCCACACTAGTACAGTACTAGTAGTACTAGGGCTAGGACGGGTTTATCGTTAATACCCGGAAAATAGGTCGTTTTAGGGAAAATTAGTGGCGTCCGTATCGTTCAATAGTGTAGTTCAAAAAGCACGGCATGTGCCTTATCATACTTACCTTATTCATGTTGTTTCCGATTTCTTGAAAGTCGTTAAGCGAAATTTATTTATGAAGTTGTGAATCTAAGTTGAGCTTTAAGCCTTATTATTTACGTCAATGTGCCTCTAGAGGGCGCTATTTCTTCGGACGGCGAGAGTGCATGCGGCAGGCGCACGAGCTGGCACGAGGGCGGGACCAGTAGGGTAGGCGCGGCCAGGGCGCGGTGCATACAGCATGAGCTGCACGAAAGAACCGTCGCGGCCTTTGGAAACACATAATTTACGAAACGAACAGCCCTGAATATTTAGAAATGCCAAAACTGTCAGGGGACTGAGGTTTAGATCCTACCAGAATTTTGCTTTTAGGAAAAATGAAAGTTAAATTGAGTCTTTGCAGGTAGACTCGACGTAACTATTTTAAAAGTGAGTGCCAGTGCAACTTGTCTGAAAAACTAGTTTCACTCTTTAAGTATGGAATGGTGATTCGCTTCAATGGGCATATTTTTGAAGGCAAATATTTACTCAAAGAAATCCCATTATTTGTCCTCTTCCCTCCAAAAATAGACCCCCTATATTTGGTACCAGATCCAGGAGGTTAGGGTCGAACCCCCTCCCCCTGCTCTGAGCCAAAACGCAATAACAAAGAGGCAAAAAAAAAAAAAAAAGAGGAAAATGATTTTTCAAAAAGTAAATTTAAAAACAAGATGGCATGTTGCAGATTCTTCCTATGCGTGCAAGGTGGGTGTTGGTAGGTCATGTAATGTTTCATCATAGTTTCTGCTTGTCCGCAAAAAAGGAGAAAAATTAGTAAAATACATGTATCTGGAAAAACTTCTAGAAAAAGACATTCAATGGAAAAAATCCAATTCTTTTTCCTGGATCGTCGTATGATTCTTTCTTATTATTTCACACTTTGGGAATAACAAAATTTCCATTTTTTCAATGACCACGCATTTTTTATCGGAAAAAAAGGCATTCAGCAGACGTATTTGACGTGTTACAAGTACATCCAGTACTAGTGGAACGTCGCTATAACAAACACGGCTATGCAGAACATTCGGGTACACCGAACATTCCCCTTGACTCTCAAATTTGCGCACTTTTACCGAATTACAGTAATTTAATCTCCCGAACCTATATAAATTGGTTGAATGTCAAAAAAAAAGAACTTGAAAATTTTCATTTTTAATTTTTATTACGGTCCTCAGTCGCCACCCAGTTTCATGCATTTGTTTTTATGTCATCCTAAAACTAAAAGTTGCTGGCCTAAAACACGAAAGAATATCACCATGGTAGGGGCTTCACTGAGCTGAAAGTTTTCACGGGGGGATCACGAAAATTCTTAGAGGGCCTGTAAAAGCTTTGAAATAGAGCTTGTACTCTGGACGTGAATGAAACAAGGTCCTACTCTTTGCCATGGGGGTGAAGTCGTCATTTTTAAACCGTGGGAAATGTAAACAATAAACATTAATCGTCTCCAGCTTCAACAACAAACCACAAGTCAAAGTTCCAATCGTAAGAGTCAACACTACGACGTGGGCTAATTAATAATTGGAGATTAGAGACATAAATCAGGAACAGGGTCTTGCCTTTAATCATTCTTATTAACGACCATGCCATTCAAATCAAGAGCACTTTTAATTAGTCTTATCACAAAATAATCAAATAATCACCCGCCTTATACACTTTGAGCCCCATAGCTAAGCACAATTGCTCTTTGCCTATATATACAGTACATAAGTCCCATGGACCAATCAGCAATCTGGATTCCCCTATATGCAAAACATGTGTGACTCGGTGTTATCTCTTACCTGTATCAAACAGTTGGTATTCTAGTAATCAACATACAGTACGTTCACATCACAATGCACTTTTAGAAGTAAGGAAAGTGAAAAAGCCCCCTTTCACGTTTTTTTTTAATTTTCAAAAACAAAAGTTTTCCTCTGTAGGCTTCTCCAAAGTAGGCATCAAATGATTTATTAGTACAACAATAATTAGCTTTTCTGAAAATACATATTTGAAGTACGAAGTACATTTTACTATTGAAAGGGTAGCTGCAATCCATTTGTTTCAAAACAAACCTTCAAAATGCACCTGTGTCTCTGCTAACCTTATTTTTCAACTTTTGTTTCATTATTTCAAAGGGTATTTTACTTCCTTTTTGGTTTTGATACTAGTGAAATTTCCATATTCATGAGCAAAACTGTGATACCATCCCAGGAAGAAAACCGCAACAATACAGTGGTTTGTACACAAAAGGTCCTGCATTTTGAGCATTTAGATATTTCACTGGACTCATTTTTTCCCTTTTTGCCGATTCAAAGTGGTTTATGAGCATAGCAACGAACAAGCATCACTCCTTGTCTCAGAAATGTTTCAGTAGGTAAATTCTAGGTTACAATAATCTGAACAGAAGCACCTGTGTACTAGTCATGACTTCAAAACAAGAGTGCCCTCAGTTGTCCAGAAATTTAAAAGCCTGGATAATTTCAATTGCTTAAAAAAGTGCACTTTTTTCAATGCAGTTAACCGAATTGGAATATAACATATTTGCAGACATCGAAGAAGAATAACGAGTTGAAGAAAAACTGTCTAAGAAAACTTCCTTGCAGCTATGCTTTAAGCACATGTGTACCGTAATTAAGCTTAAGGAGAATATTCTGACAAATATGATGACACTAGAGATATTTCTGAGAATGCCCCCCCCCAGGATATTTGAACCCAAGGAACGCTCCAGACAATGTGCGCATGATTCTCGTTTTCAATGATTTGAAAATTACAAGTGAAGACCCGCAGTACACAGTTTGAAAGAGCTTCAACAGCTATTTTCAAAACGTACCAAAAACATTAAAGATTTTTTTCCCCCTTTGAAACACCAGAATAAATTGAGGAGAATGAAGACAGTAACTAGTGGCCTTCAGCGAACCCTTCAAGTTTTCCTTGAACTAAAAGTGGTAAGCCCTATCACAGCTGCATATCACAGCATAGGGGTAAAAAACTGGTCGTCTCGGCCACTAGTGCACAGTGGCACAGCTTTCTTCGCGCAGCGCCCTCATTCGATCCAGCGGTGTTTAATTTCCAGATTACATGCCAAACCTGTGGAGTTGTCAGGGGTTATGACTACAGCGTAAATTGTTTTCATGTATCATCATTTTGTATGGGATGACTGTAGAATACAAGATTAACATTTGGTGTTAGTTTTAGTGGAGGTAAACATCTATAACTTGGCTACCTAAGTTGGAGTCGACCCGGGCCGCGGTGACGGTGCGTATTGGTCGTAGCACATAAGGTAATGATGGCGCGCCATCTGGCCGATAAAAATGCACCATGACACCAGCACGGAAAATACTGCAGCGGGCCGGCTCTGCAGGGCCGACATCATGGTTTTTGACTAAGAAAAAGATTTTACTTTAATACCCTCAAAATTTCTCAAACTATTTCCCAAACCTTCAAACACACGAGTCTGCAGTTGTCTTGGACATGTTTTCAGTTCACAAACGTTCAGGACTTTACAACATGGGGCCGGCCGGGGAGGAGTTGGATTAGAATTACAGGTCAAGCAATATAGCATGTTTGGCCAGGCCTAGCCCGGTACATAGACGCCACTTGACACCCCATGCACAAACCCTACGAGATAGCCCAGAAGTACTGTGGGGTCCGATGTCTGCCCCCCCCATGGGAGCAGGGCGGACGTCGGACCCCTCAGTTCTAGGGGGTAAATGTACTTGTGAGACTGGTCGGAAAAAAAAAAAAAAATTGGAAGTGTTCTATGTGATGGATGGAGAATACCAGCAACAATGTTCAAAAGTCTTTTTATAGGCCTAATACATGCATGTCCCAGGACAAGAAGAGGACCTTTTCGTGGTTTTGGTATGAGTTTAGTGCTAGCTGTAAAGAAAGTATGTGACCAGTGGACCACAAGATATTGTATTTTTGTGTCAGTCTTGGCGTACATTTTTCTGTCCTGGACAGTATCAACCAACTGGGCCATTTATTTGCCAATAAATGCTTAATACCATAATAGGATGGCGATGGCATCCAGGCTTGAGATCAACCTCCAGAGATTGCTGACAAGATGTGAGGCCATGGCTGGAGAACAGGACCACGGAGACTGGCGATTGGAGAAGGTAAGGTCATACAGGATATGAAGCAGGGGAAAGGTCACAGATCAGTTTTGATAAACAGGGTGACTGGGGCCACCATTTACACAGAGTAATGCCTGTTATACAAGTACAGCTAGACATTGGTCAGCAATAAACCTGTATAACATTTTGATGTGACCTTTTGTTCACATATACGCTGTCCTATTGTCGTGAGGTTGGCTGTGAGCCATTTAAGCCCCCATAGGATAGTGTGCTGGTAAATATAGCATGATGTTGATACTTTTATGTTCTATTAAAATCTCGCTTTCAAAAAGGGCATAAATTTAGTCACCTTTTTTTCCAGTTATAATTGCAAATGTTAGTGAATTGAAACAAAAATTTTTCATGCTTCTCTAACCCTAACAGTCCTGAATCCTCCAATTTTAATATGATTTAGCACACACCCTAGGGAGTTAGGGTTAATACCTCTTTGTACCCATGTGGGCCAATTACTTTCTGTCTTGGTTACATTACTTGCCATTTTCATTTGCAGTTTGTGGGCGCACTTCAAGAAAAACTTGCTGAACTAAAACGATCCCCCAGGTAAGTTACCTTTTCAATTATTTCTGGATCAATGACGTGCTGGTCGCACAGTGAATGGAAGCACAGGACACTTTTGTTGTCCCACAAATTGGTGCTACTGTACATAAGCTTTGTAGGTGCAATATAGGTCACTTTGTGATTTGACCAACAACAGAATCTTGAATCTTACTCAAAAAGAGCTTCACTCTCCAACAGTCCCGACTGAGACTAACCACAGTAGATGGGGACACAGCAGATGAATTTCCTGCATCATAACACAAACGGCATGTAGACATGTTCAGGTGAAGTCTGTACATGTACATGTATGTAGTGCTGGGTGACGTCTATACTTATTCCCAGGCTTCAGTGAGTCCCACTGAGTTTGTTCACTCAATTACAAGTTTACATTTTGTACTTCCTAAACAAACGTATGCACAGACCGAAAAGGTGAAGATGATTGGCGTACACTACATGCAATGCAGTGTGTGTGACCAGCACTACTTATCGGCCATTTTGTTTTTATTTTAGTTTGCCCAGTCAAGAAGCACTTGCAGAATATGCCAAGAAGATCGACTTCTTGAAGGGCCTCATCCAAACAGAAAAACTGGTAAGCTCATAAACTTTTGGTGATTTTTTTTTTTTTTGATTGGTAGTTTTTGTTTTCCCAAATTAGTTTGACACATTTTGTGTCTTTGGAAAACTTGAATTGGAATGGAGTGTTTTGTGTTTGAAATTGTTTGGAAAAGAAACTTAGAAAGTACTGCAGTGAGTTATTGGACAATTCTGAAATTTTCCTTCCCATGTCCCTCTAAACCGTGTCAGTTTGAAAGGTAGTTTTGTTAAGCTAGTCAATTTTGTTAGGCGCTGCTAGCATATGAATACTGACACTGGAGAGGTATGGATTGTACATGTACATGGCAGGGTGTCAACAGTTTTGCATAGGATTGTATCTATGCTTGTAAGAATGTAACACATTTGTACAACACATATCAGTGCCCAAGGATTCTTGATGTGCTTTACATCAAACTACTCCTGCTTCTTGGGCCCAGAAACAATCCTATGAATTCCTGGGAGTATACAACTCCAACGCAAGTGTTTAAGATGTCGGCAGGGTAATCAACTGCAAATACCTCCGTCATCCCTAATGGCTACCCCTTTAGGTGGAGAGAGACCAGTCAGGGTAAAGAGCCTTGTCCAGTGTCACAAGGCGTACCCTGTAGCAGAATTCAAACCTGACCCTGTGATCAGAAGCTACCAACCCTAACCCCTAGGTCACATTTCCCCACTCTTGTCTCTTTGGAAAGTTTGATCCTGGATCACATTCTTTTTCGGCAGACCTCGGCCAGTGACAAGGCCATGGCCAGTCAGCTTCTAGCCCCAGCCCACTCATCGACCAGCATCTCGTCTGAGCCCAAGACGCACTCCAAAGTTCTGCCAACATCTTCCAAAGACCTCCATCTGCAGGCGACGTCCAGATATGCAAATGAGATGAGACGGGAGCTTTTGGAGGTACCGAGCAGATCTAGAAAGTTTTATTGTTCCCAAAAGTAGCTGAGATGTATACCGTGTCATGTCATGTTTTTGCGAATGGACAAACTTTGCGATGCACCACAAAACTAAATTTCCAGGAAAGTCATGTTTTAAGTTGGTAACTTTTCAAAACAGAATTGGTCAAGATTACCTGCAGAGTTGATTCATTATCAAGAGGAATTCATGACACAAATAGATCTGTAACTTCCACTGGAAATGCTAGATACTATAGCGACCAAAGGTTATTTGAATGCAAATAAAGATTACTAAAAAATTCTTCCCTTTGTAGAAACTCAAAAACAAGGAAAATGGTATTGGCAACATGTTTGCTGTTGACATTTCTGCTAGGTGCAGAATTGTTACATTTGTGTAAAATTTAAGAGTTGAATTTGCCCCTTCTTGAAAATAAAAAAGTTTGGGTTGAATTTTGCTTGTCACTGTTTTAGTTACATCTTTATGGAGCACTAATTTTATCCCTGTGTGAAAAAGATTAAATTTTTTGCTGATTCAAATACATTTGTTAAATATGGCTTCCCAAATTATCAGCATCAGATAGCTTGATGGATTTTCAAAGCAAAACAAATTTGAAAGAGTGCTGATTTTTGGCCCAAATTGTCCTTGGGTGAAAATTGCAAGGACACTTAGATTTAGCTATGTTGTCATGAAAAAAAATCCATTCTGCATTTTCCGTCATTTAGTTTGTGGAGCTTTGTTCGCTTTTCTGTTCTTATCTGCGGAGATACTGACATTGACCAGTGTTTTATTTTCAGAACTGCTTTCCCATGCTATAAAGAGTATTTGTATCTCTGTCTCCTTTCCAGACTGATGATTTACAGGAGAATGGATTGAGGCATAGAAGGTAAACTCCATATATAGCTTGTCACTCCATTATTGAAACTGAAGTTGCTTTGAAAATGATTTTGCCACAGCAGTTAAGTTTCTGCTGTGGAATTTGTCATTGTAAAGAAATATGAATGCATACCACAACATTGCCAGATCCAGGAGGCCAATGGAGATCACAGTTCCCCTCCCCAAAAGGAAGATATTCTTGGGGGGAGGGGGAAATGAAGGAGAAAACAAGCAATTGGGGGACTTGTTAACTTCCCTTCCAAAAGCACATGGAATGCCTCAAAATTCAAGAACATCCATTGGTAATTTACTACAGTTTTCTATGTACCCAAATAGTTTTCTGTCTCCCAACACCAATTTTCTGAAAAAAAAATCCTTCCAATTGGTTTCGTCCACACAGATTACATGACCCTGACGACAAGGCATCGTCAGATGACCTGGATGCAGTGCTCCAGCATCACCACAACATGCAGGAGAAGCTGGCGGAGGAGATGCTGTCACTGACTAGAAGCCTCAAACACAACACGGTAGCGGCCAGCAACATCATCCAAGAGGATAATAGGGTAAGATTAGATGCTCAGGCAAAATATCAGTGAGAGAAGAATCTTTAGGCAAGTGACAACTGCAAATAACTTGAGTTCAACCGATGTCTCTTGAATCATGGATAGCTGGACTACTTTAGCAACTGTTGGGAACCGGACCACAGAGTACACTTGCTCTGCTAGTCATCAGTAGCCTCTTGGTAATTACGTGTAAGTTCAGAGATAATTTTTGACGTGACAGTAATTGTAAGAGATTTCATAGACTGTGTATGCAGTAAGAGTTGTAACTAATGGCAAACTGTGAGTGAAAAATGTTAAACTCGGGTCACTTGAGTGGGGCCGTTTTGTGCATGCGTATTAATAAGAAGCAGCGACTGGTGGTCGGACATACATGTACAGTTCATGCACAGCTTACCTTGTGCTAATACGGCAGAAAATCCCCCTTCTGACACTTAGTGTGGGTTTCATGAGTCAACAAGGAATTTTAAATTTTTGCACTGCGTGCACACATCCTCTAAGAACTGTGTTTTGACAGGGTAAGTCACATTTTCCCTGCCAGTGTTTTTTAGTAGGCATTGAGTCGTGTTCGTAATCGTAGAATTCCGTGATGAGTAGGGCTGTGTAATTGGACACAGGACTCCTAGGAACGAGTACCCACTTAGCAGCAAGGAAAAACACAGGTGAATCATTTCAGTGGCATCCATACGCCGACAGTGCAGTCAGTCCATATTGATCAAGCATTGTTTGTGTAGTACGCTCACAAACTTGCATGCACAAAAGATGTATGGCCCGAAAGACATGTCTTCTCTGTGTAAGAACATTTATTCCGTTCTTCGTACCGTGGCTTTTGAATGTGTATTTTGTTGACGTCTTGGTCCAACCATCATGCTGCCCAGTGTGAGGTCCTGCTTAGCAGTATTGTATTAGAGTCCATCACAAGTCCCTGCAAGTCCATCACAAGTCATTCAGTCTTCAACCAATTCACTTGCTATTCAAATGAGCAGTGACAAAAGCATTCTTTTGTCATTGTTCACCCTGTTACTAATGACTGGCATTGTGAAGGGACTTGTGACTGGCCATGTGAAGGGACTTGTGACTGGCCTTGTGAAGGGACTTGTGACTGGCCTTGTGACTAGACTTGTGACGGACTAAAATACAACACTGCTGGTTACGCTATGAACATTTTACAAAATGCGTACGTTGCAATAACAATGGATGCTCTTTGTTAGTGCACTGTGTTTCTTTTGTTAGGTGACATGAGCTGTAGATTCCACATTGCTACAATCCCATAGCATATTGATCTCACAGGTTGTCCATGAAGCTCAGCAAACTTATGTGCTGAGTAAAAATCAGTAGTGAACCAGTAACGAGAGATATCTGAGGCATTACATATTGGCTGGTTTTGCTGAGCAAATCTCTTCCTGGTTTTGCAAGTCCTGTGCCTCGGAGAGATCTTTTGCTTGACTGCAAATAGGATCAGCGAACTACGGTTGTGTGATTTATAGAAGAATCCTGGAACTTTTCATCGGACATTCTTGATTGCCCCCATTAAAAGCAGAAAGCATCGTGTTGGGTTTTGTAGAGAGCAACTGTCACGGAAAAGTCGCTTCACACATTGCTTACCACCATCGGCGGGGTCCACTTCAAGAAGTGACCAGCGATAGTATTGCCAGGGTCACTTGATTTGCTTATACTGACTGTGCTTTGGTCTCAGGCGGTTTTAGATTGCCAGGAAATTTTCCTGACCAGCATTTTCTGAAAGTGTTGATTAACCCGTGCGTTCACCCAAGTTCCTTGGTGGTTTCTTGGTGCAGCGGCTCGGGGAGACCATCCAGCTAGCCGACAGCAACTACGGCAGGCTCAAAGTAGAGAGCGAACGTCTGCAGCAGCACACCCAGCGGGCCTGCAACTGGTGGCTCTGGGGCTCCCTGCTCTGTGTCAGCATCGTTTTCCTCTGGATGATCATCTTCATACGGTTCTTCCCCAAGCCCAGGTAACACGCCTAAACCCCTCGGCTGGGAGGAGGGTGGGGTTTTACGGACAGTGTGGCCTTGGACAAACCTCTGTGGTATGGTTTATGCTGCAGAGAACACAGTACTCCTGATTACACTTCAGGTTGAGCCTGTCATGCACCAGCAAAGAAGGATGTGGGTTTTGAATCGGTCCAAAATGTGAAAGCTACTGGTATTTTGCCTCTGACAGAGTATGAAATCAAGTACCTTCACACTGAAGCACAACACTCATTCATGCCACCATGTTGGGAATAGAGTACCGAAGTGAATACGTCGTGCGCACAATTAGTGTGTAAAAGACATTAGCACGAGAACCAGCGTGTGAACCAACACGCGCGCGTACTCCATTCCTTTGCACTGTACGTTCTGGTTCACAGTGACGTCACACTTTGGTACTGTGTGGACCTTATTGGCACCGGTAAAAGCATGCCTTGAAAAGAGATATAGTTGATGCCACCCGTTAGCCTCAGATACATGATTGGAGGGATGTACAGGTTGATTGTTCACTCTATGAATTTAAGAAATGTGACAGCCTTGAAATGTTGTTAACTAGTCCCATTGTCCGTGCCAGATTTATTCTGTAAGCATGAATTCTACAGATAGATATTGATATGCCTCAACCTTACTACACCTCTTCTTATTTTTGCTACATAGGATACAGGATATGATATATTTATCCTATATAGCATGCAATGCAGGATATATCCTACATGCATTCACTGTGCGTACTGCTATTCACCGTCACTAAACCACCATGTCACTGTCGACATTTGAGTGCAAAATGGAGTCTTTTGTCCTGTGCCTTTTCATGAGCTAGCTTTGTCGTTCTTTCCTCTCAAAACAAATTATTCACATTGAAACTGTGTATGGGAAGCAAACAGATATTTGTATCCAAAGTTCATCACATGCATGTGATAATAACCATGGCTCTCTGAATCAGTTGTTGGCAACTTACCGTTACATGCATAAAGATGTGCCGGTTGGTCAGGACTATAGTAAAGTAACATTTAAAAATTATATACAATTTGTGAATGCCCTTTCTGGCTGTGTTGTTGGACCTCGTAATGTGTACCTCATGCATTGATACTAAGTTCTGATGCCTGATTGCTAGAAAGGGTGTTTTCTGTTAGTTGATTATATAGTGCCCTCTATTGGCCATTGTTGATCAATCTATTCCCGAAGCTTTCACTCCAGTTGACAACTGAAGGTTTCAGCACAAAAAAAATTTTTTTTGGATCACTCTGAACTGTAAACCTTACAGTGGGGAGAGAGTAATTGTTGAGCATGACCTACTTCAGGCCTGGTTTTGAGTTATAACATCAGTCACATGACAGTTTAACACATGGCAGATACCATGTTGAAAGAAAGATCTTCGTCCATAAGCCGTGGATGTTGATTAAATCTCGGCCATTTCTCTGTGTCTTTTTTTTTTTTTCATTCATGTTCTTCCCACATACTGCAACACATCAATGGTGACTTGTTTTTCAACTCTTGACTGAATTTAATTTGTGTTTTTAAATTCAGGGCTTTCTTTATTTGTTTGTTTCAGTTCTGTTGATTTATTTACTGTTATGTTTAAGTTAAATTTGCATATCACATTAAGTTCAAAAACGAACATGTACTTGCCAAAGCATTCAGGAATGGTCAGAACTGTTTAGGTTGTGGAGCCATGCACTCTCCAGATTGCCCAAATTTAACATATTCTTGTAAGTTGAGCTGACATCCCAAATTTAAAATGTATGATTTTGTGCTAAGCATCACGTTTACCTTTTAGTACCTCTTGGAATCTAAAGGTTGGATTTTGTTTGTTGGTCATTCGTTTACTTCTTCAAGACATGGATCACACTTTCCCCTTAAGTACTGGCATCTATTGACATTAATAACTTATTATGCTGTCAGGAATTGACCAGTTTTTCAAGTAACATTATCAGAATGATTAAAAACAGCATGCAAAATCTCAGAGAATCCTTTCCATAATCTTGTCATTTTAACGAAGCCATTTACTTTGCTAACAGACACTGAGGATAAATAGAAGAAATATGAACTGAAGGATTCAGCCCAGCTGCATCTTAATTATTGTTTCAACTGGGCTGTTTAGACCTAATTGTTGAAACAGGTCTCAATTGATTGGTATGTTTGTTGGGTTGCCAGTCACAAGCCTCGATGCCATAGGTACAGCAGGGGTGAGATTTCTCAGCTTTTTAGCTGATTTCAGCTTTTGTGTTAGAGATTTCAGCTTTTTTTCCCTCACTGGCTGTGTACAAAAGTATAGGAGATTTTCACAATTCTTTTTCAGCTGTTTTTAGCTATTTTTATCATTGGTAAATCTCACCCCCGATACAGGGAACAGCTAAGATATCTGCACCAGATGTTTGTAATGTTGCACACTCAGGAATTAGGGCTTTTACCATGAGTACAGAATTCCTCAATCACAGATAAAGTACTCAACACATATGACATATAGAAGACCCTGTAAACTGAGTGGTATCGCTCCAGTTGATTCACAGCAACAGCACCTTCTGTTGTCCAAAGAAACATGGACAGATATAAGTGTTTTTAAAAATTGCACTTTTCAGTACATTAATCCCCAACAGGATGTCAATTTTTTTCCATACATTGAAGAAACACAAAATTGTTCTAGAAGTGAATGTAAGAAAACTTCCTTTCCATATTTTTCGGTGTAGCACATTTCACAGAATCCCTTTCTGCTAAATACTTTTCTTCCATGTCTCCAATTACATCTCTGTCATCACCTGAGCTAAACATACAGTATCCTCTGATCTCCCTTCCCACCCCTTTCCTCGATCAGCAATGTTTCCGGATGGGTCTCTCCTTTTTTTCCCTCCATAGTCGTGATCTAGGCAGTCGTGAGAATAATGTGACCATGTTTATGCACAGCAGATGAACTGCGACAGACAGACGCAGTTCCACAAGAGAGACAAGAAATGGGTGTCTGACTTTGTCAACCCAGATCTGACAAATGAGCGTGTCTTTCACGGAACACCATTGACTTCACCTGCATGTGTATGTAGCAACAGTCTGACTCTAACCCTAACCCCGTCAGAAATGAAATAAGCGCAGAATCACTTGCAGACATGTACTTCCATATGATTCCCAATTATGTCTGCATGTTGTTTGCCGTAGCCCTGAGTTCTCTTTCTGTTTTCTTTCTCCATTTTTCAGTCTACTTTGGGAGTTGCGAGAGGAAATAGAAAAGTTAGTGTTTTCGAGTTGCAGTCAAGTGCACCACTTTCAAGTCTGAAATCTGCTGGTTTGAGTGCAAGTTAAAAAAATCTGTGGCGGAGTACGAGCAGAAAATCTGAGTCGAAGTCTGAATCGTTCCATAAACCAGATGTGCTCACACATTTAAAAAAGACATGCATTACGAACAGACATGCATAAGTTTCACACAGTGCAGAAATTGGTTCCGATTTATGATTAGCAAGAGCAAAATGAGGACCAATATTTCCAAGTATTTGTTGTGTCATGATAATTATTTTTGACTTGGCATGTTACATCTCCCCAAAAACGTCCTCAAATGCTTTGCAAGTCACTTAAACTATTTTACATTGAAAGGGTGCTGAGAATTACAAAACAATCATTTCTGGATAGACCTTTGGCACACTTGAGCTGAGTCATCAAGTCTTGTGGCCCGAGTCTGAGTAACCAAACAAAAAATTGAGTCCATTAGAAAGAAGACTCCAATGCTGTCCAGTAGATCAGCCAAGAAGGGGGGGGAGGGAGTGTGGAATGTGGAAGAAGGCAAGGAACTCGACAATTCAAGAGCAACATTGATATACTGAGAGCTACCCAGCTTGGCTAAACCATTTCAAATGCAAAAGTGGAAAAGTACCAAAATAAATAGTTAAAAACATATGCCCAAATCAAATATCATTTCACCAGTACTTTCTTGGTCTAAAAAATTTGACCTAAACAGGACAAAGATATTGTTTAGGAAAAGGCAAGCAAAAGCAACTGGCTGTGCACTAGGTGGACTTGTAACTCATATTCAAAGGGTAAATCAATTTTTTCCTTGACCTTGGAACCATTTTACTCTTGAGAAGACAGCACGGTGTGAAATCATAAATGAAAAAGATTCACCAACTAAGACCACAACCAGTGTTACCACCTCTAAAAATTACAGCTTTTGTATCATTTAACTGTACTTTGTAATATAAAAACTAGACAGGGATGATTAAAAACAGTAATGATGGTATCATGAAATTGGAATTGAAATAATAAGGGGGGCGTAAGAGCAGTTTGTTAGGTCACCCAAAACTTGTGTAGTTGTGTCAATTTTCCCAATTCCAAATGACTGTAGCTGTCAGTGTTTTCCCTGATTGATACATCTACCAGTATGTAACAGGTTTTGAGTTAATCGTTACCCCAGAAATAAGTGTGTGATCACCTGCTATTGAGCAAAGCTGAGAGGCCCTCATCCCCAATGCCACCTTCTGTTTTGCTACAGATGTATGGAGCGCCTTGACAGACAAATATTTGTCATACCTGTGTGACATTGGGTCCACTGTACAGCCTGTGATATTTAAGGGTAATTCCAGAAATTAGGGGTCCATTTTTTTTCTGTGTCCCTGTCACATCTGATGTGATTTTGTAAGTTCAGAACACATTTTCTAATTTCCAAGAATGATAAATTAATGCAAATTACCTGCCAAACAAATAGTAATAGTTTGAAGTAGATTCCGGTGATATTTCCAAGTCAAATAACAAAGGTCAGATGTAACAGTGATACAAAAATGTCACACTTTTGGACCCCTAATTTCTGGAATTACCCTTAAACCAAATAAAAATTCATCCATCTGAGGATGAACAACCTATTATTTGTCTAATAAAGACACAGCATTTTGTTGGAATAAAATAACTCCCAAGTAACTTGAAGGGGGGGGATCAATCAAGGCACAGTTTTCAACGTTGGGCATGTACATGTATAGTTTTCCAATGTTACACATGGGCTTGGTTTACTAGTGTTGCACATCCAGTTGTTTCCTTCAGAGGGCACAGCGTTTCCATGTTGCACAGGCTTAGTTTTTCCACATTAAATTTGTACTTGTACGGATTTAATGTCACACAGGCTTTCAACGTTGCACATTGAGTATTTCAGTGTCACGCAGGTACACTTTCCAACGTTGCTTGGGCACAGTATTTGATTGTTGCCCAGGTATATTTTCAGTGTCACTCAAGCGTCATGATGGTTTTTTGCATAGTAGTTTTCGGTGTCACGCACGACCTCATCATCATCATCGCATGCACAGTCTGGCTTCAATTCAGTATCATACAACCATGGTTTTGAAGGTCGCATGCGTGGTTTCCATGTCGAATGGGCACACTCCTTGTCCTAGAGCCCACACAAATCGAAAGCTATAATGTGGGATGCTGCTTTCCATACAGATGGCCCATTAACGAGAGGTTTTGGTCATTTTTCATCACCTCATTCATCAAACTGGCACACAGTACTCACAAGTCATCCTCTCTCTCCCCCCTTACTGCGTCTGAAATTCTGTTTACAGCTTTTCCCCATCCTAGATAGGAGACTGACCCCAAACTGTCAAAGGTCACTGCACTGTAATTTAAGGGGACAAAAAGCTTGACATTGGTCTTGATAATAGTGCACTGATTGCAATATCTTGATTTCAAAGAAAGCTTTTTTGCTCTTCAAAAAACAGTTCTTAGCTGTTTCTTTTTTCTTTTTTTGTCGCTTCTGAAGATTTTGTTCTTTGCCTAAATGAAACAAATTGGCTAGCCAAATGTAGGGGACAGTTTGCTCCCTTCTGGAGCTAAGACCAGGGCCTCTGTGGCTTTCCAGCTGCAGAGCATTTGGACATGGCCAAAGTCAAGAAAATGTACTTCAACTGAAATAATTTCAAGATGTGTTGAAACTGTTTTTTGGAGAAGGATCGATTTTGAGGTCGAAAGCCAGAATAGATTGCAGATTTATAAACTTCTCTTTCCTTTGTGAGGATATGTACACACAAATTCCTGACCTGGGCATTACAAACACTTTTAAAGAAGTTGAGTCAGGAATTTTGAAGACTTTTTTGGTTATCACTGATAGTTTGTATCTCATTGACCCTTCCATTGAACAGAAGTACTGCACTGAATTACACCTTGGCAGAAGTCCTAAATTCAAGTGTAGCATCCTTGTTAGTGCTACCATGGCTAGCCATTGGTATCTCAGTGAATTATTACAGTGACATCAATATACATGTGACCTTGTGCCAGGAAAAACAACAGCATTTTTTGGACCAGTTTTTATTTCAGGAGATATTTCAACTGGTTTTGGTTGGTCAGGAACTGTTTATCTCCCAAGGTGCCTGGGGTCTGTCAACCGTTCTGCTGTAGGGAAACAAAAACACAATTTTGGCTGTAGGCTGTCAGAGGCCTGCAAATTTTGTTCTTTATAGCTGTTTGGACTAAAAGAGACAGGTTTTGTACACAAAAAGCTAGGCTGGGGTTCTGTGCTGTTAGCATGGCAGTTTGTCCAGGAGTTGATGTTCCCTGTCTACAGAGATTTATGTTGGAAGTTGAAGGTCGGTCGGGATGCCTGTCAACATTTATTGGGAATTTGGATGGCAATTGCAGAATCACACTGAAATCAGGAATCGCTGAAGTTAATTTTCCCTACTGCCTAATCAGTTTTGTGTTATATGATTTTGAATTGAAAAAAGTGGAAGGATAAAACTTGTAAAAGAAAATTGAAATAAAGAGGGGTAGAAATGACAAAGAATTATTTGAGAAATGTGTGAACAAAGGCAAGGTTAGGTCTTATATTTTTTGAGACGATTATTAGAGAACAATTTTTTTTCTTTCTATGGATCAGTAATTTCTCACCTACTTTAGCTCTAGTCTGGCATCCTTACTCATTGTGCACCGATAATTTACAACGTAAACATTACATGTCTGACCTGTTGTCTCCAGCTAGCTCTGTCATTGCTATGATTTCCTTATTCAAGTCTGTGCTATCAAGAGGTTTGAAGTCATTGTTAATTGTGTCTAGGGCATTTTCCTTTTTCCCCTGCCAGTCTTTTCTCTTTCCTTTGTGTTTCATCATGAGCATTCTTTGCTTGTACATCTCATGGCAGATGCAATGACGGCCAAACCAGCTCAGTCTTCGGTGCTTGATACTTTCATTCTATAGTGTTGGTTTGTTAACAATCCTGGGTTGTAGGGGACATCTCATTTTTTTGTCATGCTCTTGAGTGTACTTAACACACTTTTCCTCCGACCTCTTCCCCTCCTGAAATAGTATGCAAGAAAATGGTGGCCACCCATCATTTTTCACAGTTCATGAATAATACACACAGGTTGTTGACCCCTCCCTCAGCTTACGTCCTGTATGCTCGTTAAAATAATGAAACAAAGAAATGGACGACCCCATTATCTACATGTAGTTCCAGTTACGAAGTTCCGTTTTCAAGGAAATGGATGCTTTACAAATCTGAAATGGAAAATGGTGGTTACACGCAGTGACTGATGAAAACTTACCGTGTGCATAAAATTGATGTTTTCAGGGGCTGGCAACCCCACCGGTACCTTTGCCCACAACCATGGCATGGTGGCCACCACTGCCCATGTAAAATGAATGAGCGGTTCCCAGGCTCATAAATTAAGAAATGTTTAAGGCATACAGTGTAACACCTTCAGAAATGCCTGATGTGGAACACCTGGGTGTTTTTCTTTAGCCCTCTATACAAAAATTTGAATGTGTGAGCACGGAGGTAGGTGTGAGAAAGTTTGTTTTGTCTGTGACGTTTATTATACGATTAACTCAGATTCATGCCCGTAAATGTAGGAGCCAGGGGCATTTGTCAAAAGTAATGTTCACAGGGAAAGTGATGCTGTTACATGTTTAGTATTTATTTTTGTGGGTCATGAGCTGCCCCGTTGTGTTGAAGTTTGACTGTTCTAACCGAAGGTTCGCGATACTGACTTAAGGGTGAAGAACCTGAACATGTTGAAAGTAATGTAACCACTGCCTACAGTTTGCCAGCACAAATATCTGGCTTGCTGCTCAAATCACCAGAAATGGTTGATTATTGCATCCCAACAGTCTTGTTTGTTTCTCAAGATGTAGCTCACACCAGCGTTCCAAGCTCAAAGCAGAGGACTGTAAGCCTTGTCTTTTCCAAAAAAGGGAACGATTCCAGTGTTTGACTCTGTTTATGAGGTTTCTAGGTTCTGATGTTGCACAGACTAGAATTTACCTGAGAAGTTATTTAACTGGAATCTCTACAGTCATGGGCCTAAAAACTCAGGCAGGTGAAGCTGAAACACACACAAAAAAACAGGCTTTCACAAAATAATGGCCAGATACACCTAACTTAAAGTTAGGCTGTTGCCGGGGTACCACTCATGTCTAATGGGAAGTGGCTAGGAGCCACTAGCATGTGGTCTCCTTAGAATTGATTCTTATCATATTTCCAGCTTTACTCATCATATTCCGAGCCATGGCCATTTAGAATCCCACTTGGCTGTGTCACTGATGTTGCTTTTGCTAATTTCATGTATTTAAATCATCCAACTAGTGGTAGTTTGAAGGTCAGTGTTTGAAATACCTAGTGGACTATGACCAGTGATGTTCTTATTGTTGCTGCATCAATACCAGTAGAAGTCTACAAGTCCAGTGTTTTTCTAATACATTTGTCTGTAAATTGTGTGGCTCTTGTGTTCCATTCCAGTAAATTTTATGAGATACCAGCCCTGCTGTCTTTTTTTATATGAAATTTTTCCCCTGTGTGTATTTCTTTCCCATGTGAAAAGAGGGCACTGTAACAAGAGGGAATACCTTTAACCCTAACCCATTAGGACCTTTTTACTAGGGCACATCCCCAATCCTCCAAAATCCATCTTTTAAATCAGCATCTGTCCTCAATCCTCCAAAATCCTCCATGCTTCTATCACCATTCATCCTCAATCCTCTAAAGTCCTCCAATGTTCAAATCATCAGTCATCCTCAATCTCTTAAAATTATCAAAGCCCATTCAGAGGATTTTGGAGGATTGAGGTGGGTTAGGGTTAACCTTAAAAGAGTCCAGCTTTTTTGGACTATTTCATGGGTGCATGTCGCATGCTTGATCTTTTTCCAACATACCATGCATGGAATCACCCTCATTACAAGTATACTTCAATACATTTCAAGTTTCAATCCAGTCCAACACAGGGTTTTGTTAGTATGGTCATTTATAGTTCATTGCCTCGTGTGTGTCTGGGAGTATATCAATGAGAAAAGTTGACATTGTTGGCTGACCAGTCTTGGGAAAAATGAGCATTTGTGTGAAACAAGCGTTAAGGTTTCACACAATTGTTGTCAATTTGATCACAAGATATTACTGGAAAAGCTCTAGTAATAGTAATATCTAGTAGTATCAGCCACTCTAGTGATATCACACACCCCCTCTCCCCTTCATTTTTTTTGTTGGGGGGGGGGAATGATTTGATATTAAAGCTAGAGAAAAGTCAGTTCATCATTTGTATGATGTCGCATTAATTTATTGTACCATCCGCCAAAATAATGTCATCTTCAGAGTTTGAGCTATTTCAACAACTGTACACATCTGATACTTGCATTATAATACCTCTGCCATATTCTTTCATTATTTCCAATCAAAAGCAACAAAAACACCACAAAAAAGTTCCCTAGGCAAGAACATACAATAGCAGCCTATTACATATATAATACAAAATATCATGCGGATAAGCACATTGTATGTTCAAGGCACCTGTTTTGAATAATTGTAGGTTACATGATCATTGTAAAATAATTAAATAACATACAGTGTATATATATTTACAAGGGCGAAAACAAAATCTTACAATGTTTTGTTTTATGAACAGTGCAGGTAAAAACACTGAAGTAATGATGTCTCCTCATTCTAGTAGTTAATAAAATACCTGTAAGTTTGCTTTGAATCAACAGATATGCACATAGATGTCTGATGAGACACAACATAACCATAATATAATAATATGATAGCTTATGTTTTCGATCATGGGCACTTGTAATTACACCTACGATTTTTGTAATGTTGTGGATGGGGACAACAAGCACAAATTTAAACAAAATTCTGTCATGGGAAAGTCTCAAACTTGAGTTTCAAATTACACATTCAAATTGATGTACATTTTAGCAAATTCATGTGCCGAAATGAGAGCTTGAAATTTGGACAGGTCCGTGCATCTTCTTATGTTGGTACTCTGCAATGGTGTATCTAGGTCTTGGGTCTGGGGATTTGGGGGGGTGGCCAAACTGTGAATTTTGTCTAAAAGTAATTGGCCAAATTTTGTCCAAAAAAAATGTGGTAGTACGTCTGTCGTACCACTGGAACTGCATCAGCGTGTGCATGCATCTCCAACACATTCGCCAGTCAAACCGCAATTTTGACAAATTTCCTCATTTGTACATGCTTCAGATACATTAATTACATTTGCTCAATTACTGTAAAATATCAATTCCTTACAGCATACAATGCATGATATTTATAACACAAGCAAACAGGTAACACTGTCCAAAAATAAAATGTGGCCTCCAGCCAAGTGTGTTCAAAATGTGATATGCCAATAGAGACAATGAATTGAAGTAGGCCTATGTGCCTAGGAATTCAGGATGACATCCATATAAAGCAGACGTCAAAATCTACAAAATTTTTCTCACAAGTGTGAACTGGAAGTCAGAACAGAGACAAGTAACAAACCTTTGTGTGGTTTGATAAGGCATACAATGTATAATTAATTTTTTAATGTTTATGTTGTATTTTAAGGCACTCATTAATTTTGACTATTAAGAATTTACCCACAAGAAAGGGATCCAATTTAAAAATTCACTGACCACTCCAGACTCTCTTAATGTCTACCGTTAAAAAAAAAAGAAAATCCAAGATCCAATAATTTTCAGAACAGCAATTTTGCTTGGAAACTGATATTCAAGAATACTGCCAGTACCCTGATGAATAAAATGAAATATGCATGCGTCCGCTAAGTTTCACCTGTACACATTTATAATCCTTACACACTATCAACAAACAACAAACAAAAATGTTTATATACAAAAGCCAAATTTGTATTAACGCATGAAAGACGCTTTTGCTGAAAGTATAGATTTTAGTAACTGCAGTCTGTGTTTCTGCTTGGTTAATCACTTTTTTTTTTGCAAGCAAGTTTCAAAGTTTCAAGGATGTGGGGACAGAGTGAATCATAATAGTAAAAGAAACAACAAAAACAAAAAGAGTAAACAAACAACACTGCCATGTCATCCCATCTTCTTGCATAACCACACCAATGACCTTCCTCTTGCTGACAACCATTTTGTATAGACAGCAAAAATCAGCAGAAAGTTCAACCCTAGTTGGTAACGGGTTTACCTTTTAAAGCACCTATTTGCCCCATTACCTTTAAAGAAAAAAGTACTCTGGTGTATTGTTTAGCAGTAACCTTATTTATTTGGAATCCTGATAATTGTGTGAAATTTTTAAATGCTTTGTAAATTAGGCCTATGAGCCCCCAGTTGGGCCAAGAGAGGGCAAAATTTTCTTACCAACTGCACTTTGTTGGTCCAAGAAAGAAATGCACGTGTTATGGTTGCATCGCTACCAACAAAATGAACACTCCCCACCGACATGGCTCTTTTCAACTGATGCTTCTACTCCAGACAGATTCTTTTTGTGTCTGCGGTGAAGACCTGCCATACTTCAGTTTGTAAACACTAACAGGCGTGAACTTCAACGGTGACAAAGATGGACCTACCAGTATAGGAGTGATGCACATCACAGAGTGCCGTAGACTAGCAAATTTACCTCTGAGGTTTCTCTTTTCAACATAACAAATGAAACCTATATCACAAGTTCTTGATTGTTTACACTTGGTAAACACGAGAGAATTTGGAAGGTTCACCAGCTAGGTCATTATTCTCACACAGGCATAGAAACAATGGAACAACTGCCTACTCCTTGCGTAAAACAAATACAATTTGGCATGGCTGTTAAGCATTCCTGACAGTGAAACTTGGCCTCTCTGTGGTACCTTCTTATAGTGGTGCACTGTACTGTGAACAAGGTCTTGTTCCTGCATTATTTATGTTTTCTCGTTAATAGGCTCCAATTGTCTGATCCATCCCTTCTTTCCACAGTAAGGTGCAACAGTTCATCTCTGGCCAATTCAGTTGCAAGATGGTTTATCGGTGCCACATATATTCCACGGAGGTCCATGAATAGAGAAGATCAAATAAAGGGTGTGCAAAGCAGCAGAAAGTGTTTGAAATTTAGTGGTTTGGTTCTTTGTCAGCAGCTAAATCTCTTATGTGAAGATTTCCCTCTGTGACTCTTGAAAGCTAGATGTCTACTTCATTTCATCCAAATTCAGTTATTAAGCCAAAACTTTGTACTCCAACTTCCTCCGTCATAGTATAAATCCAAGATGGCTCTTGAAATGGCAGTGAAATGTAAGTCACGTTAGCGGAATTCCGCATCAAGTGCTTGTAACCGAGTTCAACACAATGGCCATCTGTCACAAGATGTTTTGTGCTTTTTATAACATAATGTTCCTGTGCACAGGGGTTTCAGTTACAAATGTGCAGCTCTTCCGACAGCAGGCACGTCTCACAGACCACCTCACAGCACCACTCGAAGCGACAGTTGCAGTTGCCTCGCGACTTCCGCACCATGGTCTGGTAGCCCCGGCCGCAGCACAGCAGCGGGCAGCCGTTCTCGCTTGTACTGGTCTTGTTGCAAAGCCGGCCGTGGGTGCCCACTGACCCATGCTTCTTGTTGGGCTCGCAATAGTCCACCGAGGCGGCCAGGTAGACCAGGTCCGTGTTGGCCGGTTTGCGGCGGCTGGACGGGTCCTTGCGGTTGGGGCGTAACCGGCGCCGCTTCCTGGAGTACGTCATGAATTTGGCATTCTCGTACTTGTTGAAGACAATCTGGCCAACTTCCTCGAGTTTAGGCATCGTGTTCCAACACACCTTAGAGGTACAGGTGCCGGATACACCATGACACTTGCACTTGACTCTCATATTAGTGTCAATTGTCTGGAGAGGGGGAAAAGGAACACAAAATATAACTTTAGTTTAAAATGCAGGTTTAAGAAATTGATTAGGCTAAGAGCAACTGGTTGCAGTGCTTCGAGATTTGCCTGTCTAACACTGAAGATTCAAAGCAGGAAAATATTTCTCATTGCCCCAGTTTCAAGTTGCTAGCAACCAATGGTCTGTTTGTAATATCTAACGGCTAAAATTTAGGACGACATAGGACATTTTTAATTAGTTTCTGAGACACAAATGATATTCTTGATATTTTCTACAATATGCATGTTCTGCACTAAAAGCTTCAACTCCATGTTGATGAGACCAGTGCACCAAAAGCAAGATTAATTATAACCAGAACATTAAGGTTCAAAGCAAAGGTTCAAGTGGCCCAAGCTGGACCTTAGGTGCTGGCTGGAATATTATTGCTTAGTAAACGGTCAGTTTTAAGTTACCATCTCCCTAAACACAATACATATGTCAACACAACTTCTTGTACCATCCAGCAGTTGCCTCCAAGAATTCATGATGTAAATCTGAAGACTTTAATTTTTAGGAGCCTGACTTGGATGAGCAGTGAACACCATGCTCACAGGGATTCCTCCTTTGTGCTCCCATCTTCCCCTCCCCTTCCTAGTTTGAGGGAGGTGGGACAATTCCCGGCGATGCACCCCCAAATAAATTCCAAGCTTGCCTGTACAACAGTGGTGCATGTCCATGTATATATTAAGCTGCAAATTACAGTGAACCTGTGAATCAGTTGCTCGATGCAATGCCAGTGCCCCTCGTAAAAAATCCTTGCTCTGCGACCGTCCCCTATGCCTAGGACAGATCCGTTAACATGGTGTTAAATAGAAAGCATCAGATGTACTGCATGCCGAGTTGTAATACTTGTCTGTGAAATTGCTTCCAGAATTTCCAACACAGATATTCTCACTTGTATGCAATTAGCTTGTAGGGAAGTCACACTTGTCCCAAAGGACAAATTACCTGCTACAACTGAGGCACAGCAAGAGGGATACCCTCAGCACTGGGAGATTTCTCTCAAATTACACATGTATTTTCAAATCTGTGGCAAATTATGAGATTATGAAGAGAGGAAATGTCCTAATGGGCTTGGATTATTTGTGGGGGGGGTGTCAGGTGAGGGAGGGGTCATCTGGGGTCAACAGGCAGGTGTGCCTTTGTAAAAACAACCAATCCCAGCTCGCCTCTGTCACTTCTTGCAATAGTTCACTGGGGTTGAAACGATAGTTCAACTGTTGCGAAGCTGTCAACCTTGCTGACACTGTGCAGGAACCGACCCAAGCCGGCTAAGTCGCAGGTACAGAGCTTGAGAATGACTCAGCTGGGAAGGGTAGAGAGACTTAGGACAACTGTTGCTAACAGTAAGTAGAAAAAACTCAGTGCCAAGATGCAGGAATCAAGATATGTGAACTCATCACATTCTCTCAGATTTGATGGGGAGGGGGGTTAAGGAGATGCAGGGGGAGGGCTAAAATTGCAGTCTGCGAGCAAATGTACAGGAAATTATACTTCATGAAGGCCTCGTCCTCTGGGGGAAAAGATTGTACCCCTTCCCATGTGGATGTTGTCTCCCGGATGCCACAAATTGGTTATGAATGATGTGTGTTTGCACTGGAGCCTACTTTTGGATGAGTAAAATCTATTGGGGGGAAATCTGCATCACAGGTGGTGTTGGGAAGTCATGTGGAATGGTCACTTGGGGGGGGATTTCCGTACTGGAATATGAAACTGCGAGAGAGAGTTTTACTGATGGGAAAATTGAGACTGAGTTGTGAGGTTCGTCCAAACAACCATTTGGGTCCTCACAATAATGATGTACATGTGCAGATTTCCAAACAAGTTAAACTGTGCACTCGCATCAAACATGACAATACACCTTAACATAATGATGTCACGCTTTGTTTACATGTGTGTCTTTTCGGGAGGGGGGGGGCTCCCAATATCCTACCTCCACGCCATAAGAAAGTGCACATGTAAACAAAGCAGGACGTCCTTATGTCATAAGTCTATTGACATTTAGTGCACTACACACAACACACTGTTAAAGGAGAAAAGTAACTCAGTTGAACATTTGCGATTCGTCAGTTCTGTTTCAAGACAGAATAAGGCTGTCCAACATTTTGTCCTTTTCTCCTGCCTTTGATGTCTAAAAAAGGGTTGTGATCCAGAAAAAAGCCACTCCTGCCTTTCAATCTGTTTATCTCTTTCTCTTGAATTCTACAAGCATACCACTTTGGCTAGTTTTTACATTGTATATTTCCAGAAAGTTTGGTCAAAAAGGCCCCCCTCAGCACAAGATAAAACAAAGTTAAGATTGTCCTTTCTTAGAGCTTGACTGAGAGTGGATGTCACTGACGTTGACTTTACTTTTCAAAAAAGTACAGCTAGCTCTGGTAATCTAAGGTGAAGATCATTTATAATTAAATCATTTATATCACCTACTACCAGAAACCTGATGGATTAGTGGATATCTGATACACCAGCAACAAAGAGGAGACCATTTGGGTGAAAGATGGATTTCAGATTAGCTGTGCCAGACCCGACCATAATGTTCAACTGATTATGGCTCAAGCAGTGTGGATTACACTGGCTGTCCAAATAAATGGCTTCATTTTTCAATCCAAATGTTTACAAAAGAGTCTCGCGGCATTTCGAAGGAGTCGTAGGGAGAAAAAAAGAGGTTGCCGAACAGACTGAACAGGGGGCCGACGCCGCTCTCCTCAAGGTGTGAAACGAAATGCTGCTCATCCGTGAAAAAACAACCATCGCAGGCTGCGTGCTTTACTGCACTGCTCACAGAAGTAATTAGAAAGGAAAACTGTACAGATGCCGCACGGAAACTGTGGACGGGGCCATTATTTCCAGGCAAAGGAGGTCTGAGCAGACGTTTTATTTGACAAGGGGCCCAGATTTATCACCAACTGCTGAGGTGATGAAGATATTTTTGGTTTTTGGTGTTGATATTCGCTGGCTATTTCTTGCACTGATATCTGTGATGTCTGGAAGGTGTCTCAAGACCAATACACATGGACCTGACCTCTTTGCAGATTTGTGAAAATTTACGACCGCGTGTATTACTTGATTTGTGGCACGTTTATCACGCATTTTCCCCTGTTTTGCAGACAACGCAAGATGCATATTTGAACAAAAATATACGTGGTTTAGGCGTTGGTATACATGTACATGTATATAAGACCATAAATGATGGCTTTTGTCTGTGGTCTTCCACATCACCACCTGGGAAGATTTGTGTCTCATAGATCAAAAGAATACCAGGGAATAACAGTCAGTTACAAAAACAAATGAAAAATGATCTGAAAACTAACAAAAACTCTCATTGGCTTTGTGGAAAAATGTTAAGACTGGTAGAAACATTTCTGTCTCCATGTTTTAAAACATGACATGTGCAAGTGTGGCACTTCCAGAGACTACACATCTTCTTTGAGTGATCCCAAACAAACACCTGCTGAGGTTTGCAAATCTTGCTGATGCTGGTAATTAACTGTACTCTGCAGTATCACAACTTGTTGCATGATGCCAGCTTGCAGAAGCTACCGCTGTTCAGCATGATGCAATGAAAGAATAAGTAATGAGAGGAACACTAGAACTGCCACTTTGCAGTTAAATCACGGATTTCACACCCACAATAGAGGGATCCAAATACAACGCTTTTAGCGTCGATCTGCGCACTTCTGCGTTTGAAAACAAGGCTGTATGTGTCAGCTTCAATTCTTAATATTATCAGACGCTTGAAAGTAAGGAGTCAAGACACAAAATACATAAAGGTATGTTAAATTCAGACTTTCCAGGCTAAAAATGTTTGTGGAAGAGTCTTTCAGGAACACTCGACACGTAAAATCCAAAGAAAAATAGCGACAATTGACCGCGAAGTAAGGTACCTGCGATGGTCGTGTATCTTTTACAGTGGGCGTGGTTTAAACTGAAGTGGCATCACACTTACGAACTGGATACTCCATGTACTGTGTGGACTTCGCGGGCGCGCGACGAAGTTCAACACAGAGAGCCTCGGTTTTGATGCAGATATGCTCTTACGGCGCTAATGTGAAATCCCTCTATATGCCAGTTCAAAGTGAGGCAACTGTACGACTGGTGCAACCAATCTATGGATAGAATGCTAACTAACAGAATTTGGCTGGTGGTGCACAGACATAGCATGATGAGGAAGTTTGTTGGTTTGACTCCTGGGCCCAATTTCATGGCGCTGCTTACTGCAAAATGCTATGCTCACAATCTCCATTCTGCGCTAACCGCGCAAGCAGAAAAATTCTGTGCTAACCTTTTAAGCGCACAAGCCTTAGTTACAGGATGAAATACGTTCGTCATATGCACAGAATTTTCTGCTATAGTAAGTGCCAATTTTCTGTTTGCGGTAAGCAGTGCCATGAAATTGGGCCCTGGTTTAGCTAATGTTCCTTTTTGCTCAATCGACCGGTGCTTCCAGGACTCGGGGGAAAAACAATTGTCCCTTCATGTTCAACAGCACTAGGCAATACACAACATTGGGTGGCAGATCTTAACCACTGCAGGTAATAACGGCACTCAAATTACATGTACATGCAAGTCTGCATTCAACCAAAATTGCATTATATGCTATATTTCCATACATGTGCCGCTGAAATCACTCAACAGCCCACCATTTTGATACACGTCATTTCATTCTTCGTTAATAATGAAAAAGTTTCTCTGAGTCCTTGTTGAATCTCTTAACGAGCACAAGTTGTCCTTTCATCTGCCCGCACTCAATGCATTTGAGTGCTACTATTAACGTGGTGAAAGGAAAGTCAGTGATATTTTCCAGAATTTGTTTCATTTGTAACATGTTGCAAAATTTGTGAGTGAATGGACACAATGAATTCTTTCTCTCCCCCAATCCCTTATTGCTCTGTCTATTACCACTGTCTCTTTCTTGGGTAGTGACCATATCCCCATTTAAGACTGAAAAGGGGATCCGACATCTG